TCTCCCATGGGTGCTGTGGGCCAGGAGCTGGGTGGTGCTGGCTCAGGATGCAGTCCAGTGGTGCTCGAGGCGGGGTCCGGGGGGCTGCCAGGCCTCCCTCTGCCGTCTCAGACCTTCCCGTGTGCTCTCTCACACTTGCTGGCTTGAGCTTCCCCACAACATGGCTGCCTCCAGGGCGTCAGACTGTTTCTATGGAGCCGAAGGCGTCACGGGCAGTATTTCAGTGACGGTGACTACATGGCTTTTCTACCTAATCTCGGGAGTCCTGCAGTGCCATTTCTGCCATCGTCTACTGCACATGTGTCAAACACAAGGCCCGCGGGCCAAATCCGTCCCGCCAGGCCTTGCAATGTGGCCCGCACCGCGCTGTCATCACTGCACTCCGATGCGTTTCCATCACAATGACAGTTTATGACTGTTCAGTAAACCATTCGGCCCGAGATTTAGGCTGGATTTTAGATTTTGGCCCCTTCTCTGATTGAGTTCGACACCCCTAGTCTACTGGTTCCATGTGAGCCACACAAATGTAAGAGGCAGGGACATAGGCCCCACTTCTTGGTGGGAAGAGCATCAAGGTCAGACCTAACTGGTTTGGCTCACTGGATAGAGCATGGGCCTGAGGACTGAAGGGTCCCAGGTTCGATTCCAGTCAAGGGCATGTACCTTGGTTGTGGGCATATCCCCAGTAGGGGGTGTGCAGGAGGCAGCTGATCGATGCTTCTCTCTCATCGATGTTTCTAACTCTCTATCCCTCTCCCTTCCTCTCTGTAAAAAATTAATAAAAATATACAAAAGAAAGCATCAAGGTCAGATGTTAGGAGAGCAGGTAGGATGAGAGATGCTGCCGCAGCCATCTCTGGAAGACAGACTTTTTCCCGGCCGCCCCCATGAGGACAGATTTCTCCAGTCCCTCCCTCTTTGATGTGATTAGCCCCCGGTTCCCAAGCAGAGTCGGATTTGCCAAGGTCACCTGAGCGCCAGCAGACACAGAAAGCAAACGTGTCCTTGTGGCCTCCACAGGGCAGCCGGCTCTCAGACAGCAGACACTTTTCTCACTGTGGAGAGAGGGTGCAGATGCTAAACCCCCCAAGACCTCCACAGTCCACCCCTTTGAACACTCACTACCCAATGTACCCTTTCTTCTATGCTTCCATTCTGTTATCTAAACTCCCTGCACAGCTCTGATTGGTGTGGCTCAGTGGATAGAGCGTCGGCCTGGGGACTGAAGGGTCCCGGGTTTGAATCCAGTCAAGGGCACAGGCCCGGGTTGCGGGCTTGATCGGTAGTGGGCGGGGGCATGCAAGAGGTAGCTGATCAATGATTCTCTCATCGATGTTTCTATCTCTCTCTCCCTCTCTCTTCCTCTGTGAAATCAATAAAAATATATATTTTTTAAAAATAAACTCCCTGCCAAAACCGGCTTGGCTCAGTGGATAGAGTGTCGGCCTGCAGACTGAAGGGTCCCGGGTTCGATTCCGGTCAAGGGCATGTATCTTGGTTGTGGGCACATTCCCAGTAGGGGGTGTGCAAGAGGCAGCTGATGGATGACTCTCATTGATGTTTCTAACTATCTCCCTTCCTCTCTGTAAAAAATCAATAAAATAGATTTTTTTAAAAAATAAAATAAACTCCCTGCATAACTAACTCTTGTCCAACCAAAAATGCATTCACACTGCCCCCTAAGACAACACAAATTCCCGGTAGTTACATTTCCCCGGTGCCACTCTGGAATCATTGGGGAACAGCCCTGGTTCTTGAAATGTGTCATGATCCTGTATTCCAGGAACCGTGAGCTCACTTTAAAGTAACTGTCGTGCCCGGCTGATGTGGCTCAGAGGCTGAGTGTCAACCTAGGGACCGGGAGGTCACGGCCGAATATCTGCGGTCAGGGCCCATGCCCAGGTTGCAGGCTGGATCCCCAGTGGGAGGCATGCAGGAAGCTGATCAATGACTCTCATCATTGATGTTTCTATCTCTCCCTTGCCCTTCCTCTCAGAAATAAATAAAAATATTTATTTTTAAAAAGCTAACCATCGCCCTTGCTGGTTTGGCTCAGTGGATAGAGCATCGGCCTGCCGACTGAAGGGTCCCAGGTTTGATTCCGGTCAAGGGCACATGCCTGTGTTGCAGGCTCAATCCCATGTAGGAGGCAGCCGATCGATGACTCTCCTCATGGATGTTTCTATCTCTCCCTCTCCCTTCTTCTCTAAAATCAATTTTAAAAAATATTAAAACAAAAAGCTAGCCCAAACGGTTTGGCTCAGTGGATAGAGCGTCGGCCTGCGGAATGAAGAGTCCCGGGTTTGATTCCGGTCAAGGGCATGCACCTTGGTTGTGGGCAGCTGATTAATGTTTCTCTCTCATCGATGTTTCTAGCTCTCTATCTCTATCCCTCTCCCTTCCTCTGTAAAACATCAATAAAATACTTTAATAAAACAAAAAGCTAACCGTCATCACACATTGCATGTAAAATAATGGGTGAAAGATAAGGCCTGCTCATTAAAATATATAAGCATGTGCCCATGAAAGCAAGGATGGAATTGGAAATTTAATTCATTGAATTTTTACTCAGCTCCTCGGGCCCAGCACGACCCAGCACTGTAAAAACTGAACAAGACCACTTACGTAGGTATGCGTCCGGTATGCGTCCGTGATAAGCGCTGTGGACGAGAACTGTAGTTAGATAAGAGACGTAAGGCGTGGCTGGGAAGGCAGGAATTGCTATTTTAGGTAAGAGGGTCAGGGAAGCTCTGGGACTAGAGATTTGAAGCAAGTATGTGAGGAAAGAATGCCCAGCAGAGGAAAAAGCAAGTGCAAAGGCCCTGGGGCCAGAACACGCCTGCTGGTGTGACCTTCCTTCGAGCCAAGAGAACGACAGGGCAAACGCAGAGCTATGAGGAGCCGAGGATGAGAGGGAGGAAGAATGAGCCAGGGAGGTAACCAGGACCTGTGAGCCCAGGCGTCCAATTATTTTTTTAAAATATATATTTTATTGATTTTTTTACAGAGAGGAAGGGAGAGGGATAGAAAACTAGAAACATCGATGAGAAACATCGACCAGCTGCCTCCTGCACACCCCCTACTGGAGATGTGCCCACAACCAAGGTCCATGCCCTCGACCGGAACCAAACCTGGGCCCTTTCAGTCCGAAGACCGATGCTCTATCCACTGAGCCAAACCGGTTTCGGCAGCCAGGAGTCCAATTCTGCCTTTCCTCAGTGAAAGGAGCCGGGGGAGGCCTCTGAGCTCGGCTTATGCCGTTAACGCACGTCCGAATGGCTGTTTTGTGGGGACAAATTGTAGGGGACAAGGACAGCTGATGTGAGAGTACTCGTTTCTGCACATCTGTGGCTGGAATCCTAAGTAACATGGCTCCTTCAAACACCATCCGTGTTAGTCCTTCCTCCCCTAGGAACTCGGCTGGCCGGGCTCCTGAGGAAAGTGGAAGGAGGTGGCTGGTGAGAGGTGCCTCCCAGGGCCCAGCCTGAGTGGCAGGTGCCCGAGCCAGGGCGGGGGAGCCGGGGAGGGGGCGTCCAGGGTCACACCGGGCCAGTTTGTCTGGGGGTGCGCCCGCGTCTGTCCACGAGGGCGACTGTACCGTCCGGGCTGGCTGGGCCGTCTGCTCGGGAGCCTGGGCGCTACTGAGGGTTAGCCTGGGAGCCTCACCGGAGTGTCTGCGGGGCGTCGGGCCTGGTGCCGGGGACACAGACGTGCCCAGGACAGCTCCGGCCTTCCTCGCATGGACTCCCAGGCCAGCGGGGGAGACAGGCCTGGCCCCCGACGGGGACGACCCGGAGTGCAGGACTGCAGGTGGGGAGGCCTGGGGGGTGGGGGTGAGGGGCAGAGGGGGCACCGGACCCAGCGGGGTGCTGCGGGCAGGAGACCCGGAAGGCTCCTCCCTGGAGGAGGGAATGGGGCGGCCGGTAGGAAAGGTCACCTCTCCTGGTGCAACAATTGCTCCCCTGTATCGCGGACGGATGGAGGAGCTCTGCCAGCCGCGCTCCCAGGTGGACCTGTAACGCGAGCCTTCCCTCTGTGCCAGATGGGCAAAGCCCAGGCTTCCTGGTGACCCCCCATTCTGGCCATTTCTCCCCGGTAACCTGTGACCTCCCCTGACCCCTGACCCCTCTGCCAGCAGTCTGACCTGGCAGCTCGTGAGGAGCCGGGGCCCTCTGATCTGTGACCTGTGACCCTTCCCTGGACCCATGGGCAAGCTCCTCCCCCTCCCCTCAGGTGCCCTGCCCCCTCCCCTCTCCCACTCACCTGCTGCTGCCAGCCTGCTCTCCTCCCCTCCCCCCTCGGTGGGGAGGGAAGGGAAGCAGCGGGGAGGAAGGGGGGTGGCATTCCTGGGATTCCCTGGATGTGGGGGCAGAGAGTCAGCCCTGAGCCAAAGGGAGAGCACCTCACACAGCCTGGGCAGGGCCGGAGCTCGGAGGCCATTCGTAGGAGATTAAACTGGAAGGTTCCAGGCAGGCAGGCAGGAAAGCAGCCCGCAGTGCAGGCCCCAGGAGGGGCCTCCCGGGGCAAACTGGGCGCCGCTGTTCTGGCCACTGGGCCGCTGGCTGCGCGGAGAGGCCGGTGCGGGCCGCTGGCCGTGCTGGGGCAGCCGGTGCGGCCGGGTCACATGCACACGGGCCGGTCGGAGGGGGAGAGGGTCCCGGCTGAGCGCTGAGGCCCCTGCACCGGCCGGACTGGTCTGGCCGGCCACCCGCCCGGCCCGCCGCTGGTCCGCCTGAGCGGCCGCCCGGGGCGAGAGACGGAGGAGCCGCTCGGGGCAGGCGCTGGGAGGTCCTCCCGGGGCAGCGGGAGGTCCTGGCCCGGCGCCCGGCCTGGGGGGGCCCGGGGGCCGGAGGGCGGGGCGCGGGGCGGGGCGGGGCCTCCGCCTCCGCCCAGCCCGGCGCTGGGGCTCAGTGCCGCCGCCGCCGCCGCTGCGGGAGGACATGGAGCCCCCGGGCGCCCGGGCCCCGCGGCTGCTGCTGCTGGCGCTCCTGCTGGGCGCGCACCCAGGTATGCTGGGTGCAGGGTGCGAGGGGGGGGGGTGCCCCGGGTCGGAAGGGGAAAGGGTCTTGGAGCCACCCCAGGAAGCCAAACCTGGGGGACCCCAGGAAGGAGGGGTCTGGGGGCATGCGGGGCGCCCGTCCCCAGGAGAGATCTGGGGGGCCAGCCAGGCAGAGGAGCCGGGGACACCACGGCAGTGGGCAGAGACCCCCCCACTCCAACCAGGAGCTGGGACCCCCAGCCCCTCTCTCCGCTGCCCCTGGATTGGGGTCCCAGGCCCCCTGCACCGCCGGACCCAGGGAGAGGTCCAGGCTCCGGTGGCTTCCTCCCAGGGGGCCCAGGAGACCAGCACGCCCCTCCTGAAAGAGTCTCAAGTTTGGAGAGAATCCTACAGCCAGAACCCGGGAGCAGGGCGTCTGGGGGTTCAGAGCCCAGACTCCGAAGGGCCCGCCTCCCTCGGGAAGGGCTGGAGCGCCAGCCGCGGCACTGACGGTGAACAAAGTGTTTCCTAGTGGCAGTGCCCCTTCCCGGGCCCCAGATTAGCCCGCACCTGTGAGCGCGCGGGAGGGAGCCGCCCCGCGGCGGCGGCGGGGAGCGAGGGGCTGGGGAGGAGGGCGATCCTTCCCTCCTTCCCGCCGCCTCGCGCAGCTGCTCAGCCCCAGCCCAGCGGCAGCCTGGCCCTGGCCCCGTGCCCCCTCCCCGGGGACAGGCCTGGGCCAGAGGTGGGCGCCTGGGAATCCAGGCCCCTGGCAGGAGCATAGCCAATAGTGGGTCTCCAGGGGCAGGGATGGGCCGGGCTGGGGGGGGCGGGAGGTTCTAAGAAATGAGCACTGATGCCAGGATGCCAGCCCAGAGGGTGAGAGAGCGTGGTTTCCTGCTGAGAGCAGCTGCCTCTGCCAGGATCTTGGGACAAGAGTCCAGACCCAGCCACCTAGTCCCCTAGGACCCAGGAGTCCAGGCCCCAGCCCCTCCTCCCTCAGACCCAGGAGTCCAGGCCCCCAGCCCCTCCTCCCTCAGACCCAGGAGTCCAGGCCCCAGCCCCTCCTCCCTCAGACCCAGGAGTCCAGGCCCCCAGCCCTCCTCCCTCACACCCACGAGTCCAGGCCCCCAGCCCCTCCTCCCTCAGACCCAGGAGTCCAGGCCCCCAGCCCTCCTCCCTCACACCCACGAGTCCAGGCCCCCAGCCCCTCCTCCCTCAAACTCAGGAGTCCAGGCCCCCAGCCCTCCTCCCTCAGACCCAGGAGTCCAGGCCCCCGCCCCTCCTCCCTCAGACCCAGGAGTCCAGGCCCCCAGCCCCTCCTCCCTCAGACCCAGGCCCCCAGCCCCTCCTCCCTCAGACCCAGGAGTCCAGGCCCCCAGCCCCTCCTCCCTCACACCCAGGAGTCCAGGCCCCCAGCCCCTCCTCCCTCAAACTCAGGAGTCCAGGCCCCCAGCCCTCCTCCCTCAGACCCAGGAGTCCAGGCCCCCAGCCCCTCCTCCCTCAGACTCAGGAGTCCAGGCTCCCAGCCCTCCTCCCTCAGACCCTGGAGTCCAGGCTCCCAGCCCTCCTCCTTCAGACACAAGAGTCCAGGCCCCCAGCCCCTCCTCCCTCACACCCAGGGGTCCAGGTACCCAGCCCTCCTCCCTCAGGACCTAGATGTAGGGCCTCAATCCTGTTGTGAGATGATGCACCTCACCCCTTCCCCACCTCACCCCTTCCCCACCTCACCCCTTTCCTGTTCTATCAAAAAGGCAGGGGGGCCACGGGGCGAGTAGGGGGCTCTGGCGCCAGGTCGGGCATGTCTGAGCCAGCCTGTCCCTCCCACATTCCTGAAACCTGCCCAGCCCTGTCCCCCCCTCACCACCCCACACACCCATCCGCCTCAGCTCCAGGCCCAGCCGCAGCCCACACCCCACCTCAGCCCCCGAGGCTGAGAGGCTGAGAGAGACGGAGGCAGAGGCGGCGGAGCTAAGAGATGGAGCCCCAGGAGGAGGGACGCGGGCAGAGACAGAGATGCTTAGCTCATGCCACTGCGTGCCAGGCCCTGCGCAGGGCAGCGGAGGCAAAGGGATGAGCCAGCCCCGGCCCGGCCCTGCCCTTGGCGGGCGTTCGGTTTGGTGGTAAAAGCAGGGACAGGTGATGCTTTTCCTGGCGAGAGCAGTGCCGCCCCGGGTGGCTGCCTGTGTGGCCCAGTGGGAGGAGCCCTCGGCTCTGCACGTGGAGGGGGAGCTGGAGAGAAACACTCGTCGGGTCTGAGTCCAGACACACAGATGAGAGATGGAGGGGGCGGGAGCGGCTGATGGGGGGGGGGGGGCGGGTTCTGGACCCCTTTGTCCGGGGAAGACGGCTCTGTCCACAGTGGCCAGAGCCTGTGGCGGTCCTGCAGGTGTCCAGGCGGCGATGCAGGTGTCCGTGGCCCCGCTGGTGGAGGTGATGCGGGGGGAGACGGTGACCCTGGACTGCACCCCTTTGGGGGACTATAGCCAGTACCAGCTGAAGTGGTTCCTGGTGAGTGCTGGGGGTTGGGGGCTGGGGGCGGAGGGGGATCTGAAAGCCAGAGCCCGGGGGGGGGGGGGGGGGGCTGCAACCATTCCTTCCTCCATCGGAAGCGGAAGGGGCCTGAGTCCGCCACCTCGCTGCCTTCCCATTCTGCAGCCGGGGAAACTGAGGCCAGCGGGGAAAGGCGTGCTTTAGGTTCGGCTGGCTCTGGGGAGAGAGAACATCGGGAGACTGACACCCAGGACGCAGGCCTGGGGGTGGGACTGAGAGAGAGAGAGGAGAGAAAGCGCAGAGGGAGGGTGGTAGAGGGAGATAAGCGGGACCAGAGTGAGATGGAGAAAGGGGGAGGCCGAGAGAGGGCACGGGGCGGGAGGGGCGGGGAGGGACACAGAGGGAACCACGGGAAGGGGGCCCCAGAGCAGCAGAAGGGAAGGGACGTGGACGCCGGGGCGGGCCTCCGGGCGGCCCTGAGCCGAGGCCCTCCCCGCCCGCCCGCAGGCCGACCGCTCGGGGACCCGCCACCTCCTGGCCGAGGCCCAGGTGCAGGGCTCCGAGGTGCAGGCCCGGGTGCACGCCTCCCGGGGCCGCAGTCCCCCGTACCAGCTGCAAGGCCAGGGCCACCTGGTGCTGGTGGAGGCCCAGGTGAAGGACGAGCGGGACTACGTGTGCGTGGTGACCGCGGGGGCGGCCGGCACCGCCGAGGCCACCGCCAAGCTGCAGGTGTTCGGTGAGTGCCGTGGGCGCTGGGGCGGGGCCGGGGCGCCGGGGCGGGGCCGGGGGCGGGGCCGGGGAGCCCGGGAAGGGGTTCCTGACCCTGCCATCCCCCCCACAGCAAAGCCAGAGACCACCGACGTCTCCCCCAACCTGGGCACGCTGTCTGTGATGGATGACTCTGCCCAGGAGGTACCGCGGACCGGCTCTGCTTCCAGGGTCCCCGGGGGAAGGCAGGCTGGGGGCCTAGAATCCTGGGTCCTGGGGTCCTGAGGTTGGAGGGGCAGGCGTGCCGGACCCCCGCACCCCGGGGCGGGGCGGGGCGGGGCGGAGGGAGGGGGGCCCGGGGCGCTGGATCCGAGCAGGGAGAACTCCTCCGGGGACGGGGTCCCCTCAGCGCTCCGAGGGCTGGCTCAGAGCCTCGGGCCGTGCCTGTGTCCGCCCCCCAGATCGCCACCTGCCACAGCCGCAACGGGAACCCCGCCCCCCAGATCAAGTGGTACCGGAACGGGCAGCCCCTGCAGGTGCCCATGGAGGTGAACTCAAGTGAGCAGGGCAGGAGCCGGCTGGGCTGGCGGGAGGTGGGGGTGGGGGGGCGGAGCTGGCTGACGGCCCTCCCTCCCTCCCTCCCTCTCTCCCTCCCTCCCTCGCAGACAGCTACATGACCAGCCGCACCGTGCGGGAGGCCTCGGGCCTGCAGTCTCTCACCAGCACCCTCTACCTGCGGGTGCACAAGGAGGACCGGGACGCCCGCTTCCACTGCTCCGCGCACTACAGGCTGCCCCGCGGCCAGCACGGCCACCTGGACAGCCAGGCCTTCGGCCTCACCCTGCACTGTGCGTCCCCGCCCGCCCCGACCTTGACCTTGGGCTTCATACCCCCGGAGGCCTGACCCTCCTCCGGCCAGCCAGCCTCGGCCCACACGCCGGCCCCCATCCCCTGCCTTAGGCTGAACTGTGACCTCGAGAAGTCCCAGGAGCGCCACCTGACTTCTTTTTTTATATATATATTTTATTGATTTTTTTACAGAGAGGAAGGGAGAGGCATAGAGAACTAGAAATATCGATGAGAGAGCCGAAACCGGTTTGGCTCAATGGATAGAGCGTCGGCTTGGGGACTGAAAGGTCCCGGGTTCGATTCTGGTCAAGGGCATGTACCTTGGTTGTGGGCATATCCCCAGTAGGGGGTGTGCAAGAGGCAGCTGATCGATGACTCTCTCGTTGATGTTTCTAACTCTCTATCTCTCTCTCTTCCTCTCTGTACAAAATCAATAAAATATATATATTAAAAAAAGAAAGAAAGAAAGAAATATCGATGAGAGAGAAACAGTGACCAGCTGCCTCCTGCACGCTCCCTACTGGGGACGTGCCTGCAACCAATGTACATGCCCTTGACCGGAATCGAACCTGGGATCTTTCAGTCCGCAGGCAGACGCTCTATCCACTGAGCCAAACCGGTTTCAGCTTCTTCTTCTTTTTAAAGAAAGTATTAGACAATTGAGGGTTTGTTTGTTTGTTGTTTGTTTGTTTAAAACAAAAAAATATTGATTTTTTTACAGAGGAAGGGAAAGGGATAGAGAGCTAGAAACATCGATGAGAGAGAAACATCGACCAGCTGCCTCCTGCACACCCCTGCCTCCTGCACACCCCTGCCTCCTATACACCCCTGCCTCCTGCATACCCCTGCCTCCTGCACACCCCTGCCTCCTGCACACCCCTGCCTCCCTTGACCGGAATTGAACCCGGGACCTTTCGGTCCACAGACCGACACTCTATCCACTGAGCCAAACCGGTTTCGGCGCCACCTGACTTCTGACCTCCCTCCCCCCCAGAGCACTCTGGGAGTTTAACGGCCACACACCGTCCGGCAGCCTCCTGCACGGAGCTGGGCCCCCGGATCCCACACTGACCCGCCCCCCTTACCCCCGCAGATCCCACGGAGCACGTGCAGTTCTGGGTGGACAGCGCGTCCACCACGGAGGGCTGGGTGCGCGAGGGCGACTCCGTCCAGCTCGTCTGCCGCGGGGACGGCAACCCCACGCCCGAGTTCACGTTTTACCGCCTCCAGGTGACCGGCCCGCTGCTCCCTGGGGACCCTGACCTCCAGGACATGCCGACCCGCACCGATTCCCCCCCTTTCACCCGGTGGCCCCGGCTAACCCGCCCTCTGCCCCCTGACCGGAAGGCTCTGACCTCGCGTGACCCTCACCTGGAGAGGGACCCCGCCCGTCGGAGGGCCCCTGGACCCTGCTACCTACCAGGAGGCCTCTGAGCCGGGCCCTCGTCCCCCTCACCCAGGGCCAGGAGGAGAAAACCCTGAGCACCAACCTGCACGGGAACTTCACGCTGGAGGCCGTGCAGCGGAACCAGAGCGGCACCTACGGCTGCCGGGCCTTGGACTACGACGCCGCCGAGGAGGCCGAGCTCTCCCAGACGCTGGGGCTGCGCGTGGCCTGTGAGAGCCTGGGGAGCCCACCGGGAGGGGGGCCCGGGCCCCGGCGGCTTCTCCAGGGCCTGCCTCCCAATGTGCAGTCCCTGTTTGGATCCCACGTGCTCCCTCCTCCCGGGAACCCTGCCCCAGGCCCCTCTAAACTCCCACACCAGGCAGCCAGAGAGCCTTTACGAAGTGCAAACCTGACCTCCTCTCTGCCCCCCCCCCCTCCAGAACCTGCCATGGCTCCCCAGTGCCCTCTGGGAAAGCCCAGGGGCCTCGCCATGTGGTCCAGGCCCCCCTGCTTGGTTTCGCCTGTGGCTGACCCTGCTCCCCACCAAGGTGTTTTCCTCGTCCCACCCGCGCTCCTCTCATCCCCGGGATCGCTTCCCGTCCTTCTACATTAAGGTGACCAGATGTCCTGCTTTTGGCGGGACAGTCCCGATTTCTAACAATTTGTCCCGCGTCCCGCGGCGTTTTAAAAAAAATATGGGGATTTTTTTTAAAACGCCTCGGGACGCGGGACAAATTGTTTTTGTTTTGTTTTAAAATATAGTTTATTGATTTTTTTACAGAGAGGAAGGGAGAGGGATCGGGAGCTAGAAACGTCGATGAGAGAGAAACATCGACCAGCTGCCTCCTGCACACCCCCCACCAGGGATGTGCCCCCCCACCAAAGTACATGCCCCTGACCGGAATCGAACCCGGGACTCTTCAGTCCGCAGGCCGGCGCTCTATCCACTGAGCCACACGGGTTTCGGCGATGCCGGACAAATAGTTAGAAATCGGACTGTCCCGCCCAAAGCGGGGCGTCTGGTCACCGCCTTATTCTCCATCCATTTCTGACCCGTCTCTTGGGTCCGTCTTTGAAGAAGCCTCCTCAGGCCCCCCGGCCCCCAGCCCGGCTCTTCTGTCTCCTTTTCCGGAGTCAGACCCTGGGCCCGATGGCGGTGACACCCCCGTGAACAGTCCGCCCAGTCCCCACCTCCCCGGCCCAATAGGGGAGACGGAGGGCAAACGGGAAACAGGACACTCAGGGGTACCAATCCCGCGTCGGCAGGGCCTCGAGCAGAGTGAAGGGGTAAGGAACTGGCTGGGCAGAGCCAGGAGCAGTTTGGGGGTGTTGGCAGGCTGCATCCCCAGGAAGCAGACTCTGCCGTGGAGATCTGAGGGCAGGAAGTTTACGAGGAGTGCCTTGGCACCACCTCTGCTCCGGGCGGGGAGGGGAAGGAAGCAGGATCGGGCAGAGGGAGAAGTTGGGCCGGCGTCTCAGGAGGCCTCGGTTGGGCACTCGGGGACGTGGGGCCCCAGGTTCATGGACAGCCTTGGGGGTGTGAGGCGCTTGGAAGCGGGGGGGCGAAGGGGCCTGGCTTGTGTACCCCCACACCGGCTCGTCCTGGGCCACCAGCTGCCTGGGGAAGGGGCATGACCTTGACAGGGGCTGTGTGCAGCTGACACAGTTCCGGGAAAGGGCTGACAGCTGAGGGCTGGCAGCTGATGGCCCTCTCGACAGCTGAAGGAGAGAGCCGAGTGGCCACGCCAGGGGGGTGAGGGCGGCCTCTCTGAGGAGGGCCATGTGAGCAACAAACCGTAGAATGGGATCAGACATACAACGAGGCAGAGGGGCACTCCAGGGAGAGGGAACAGCCGATGCAAAGGTCCTGAGGCAGGACCCAGCTGGGCGTGCTGGAGACAGGACGCGGGCAGGGTAGCTGGAGCTCAGGGGGGAGAAAGGAGGGTGGGACAGGAGGTCAAAGACGAGGGCAGGCAGGGGTCACACCAGGACGACCTGCTGGCATCGTCAAGGAACTTGGCCTCTAGCCCTAGGGTGGTCCCTTCCCCTTGGTCCCGGCCTGCCCCTACCCCCAAACCCTCAGCCAGCAGCTGGAGGGCCCAGCGGGAACTAAGGAGGGGAACCCCGAGGGGCACTACTGTGGGATTGTAAGCAGAGGGAAGGGCTGACCAGTGTTGTTTTTTTTTAAGCATATATATATATATATATATATATATATATTTAATATATTTTATTAAATTATAATATATTTTATTTTTTTAATATATTTTATTGATTTTGTACAGAGAGGAAGTGAGAGAGATAGAGAGTTAGAAACATCGATGAGAGAGAGTCATCAATCAGCTGCCTCTTGCACATCCCCCACTGTGGATATGCCTGCAACCAAGGTACATGCCCTTGACCGGAATCGAACCCGGGATCCTTCAGTCCCCAAGCCAACGCTCTATCCATTGAGCCAAACCGGTTTCGGCTAAAGTATATTTTATTGATTTTTTTTTTTTTTTTTTTTTTTTTTTTTTACAGAGAGGAAGGGAGAGGGATAGTTAGAAACATAGATCAGCTGCCTCTTATATACCTCCTACCGGGGATGTGCCCGCAACCAAGGTGCATGCCTTGACCAGAATTGAACCTGGGATCCTTCAGTCCCTAGGCCAACGCTCTATCCACTGAGCCACACCGGTCAGGGCCTGACCAGTGTGTTTTGGAAAGATCCTTCTAGCTGCTCCAAGGACCAGAGTCCAGCCCCGCAGGGAGGCCAGGGAGGAGGCGGCTGCAGTGGTCCAGGCAGTTGGACTTGGAGTCCAGAAATGGACAGAAGCAGAAAGATCGGTTTGGGGGGCAGAGCAGAGGAAGACCTGGCGGTGGGGAGGAGAAGGCAGGGGTGTGGGCGGAAAGTTAGAGAAGAAACACCTCCCACCTCCGAGGTTGTCCGTTACCCTTGGGCCCCACATCGGCTCTGGGGAAAGCGAGCGGGGTCAGACTGCTGATTCGGGCTCGAGGTTTGGCCCGACGGCAGAGCCGAGAGGTCACGGAGACGGGGAGAGCAGTGAGCAGCGCTTGGCTATGGGGCACAAAAGCCCTCGGGCGCCCCTCACCAACGTGCGGAGGGTCCCGGAAGGTGACCTTCTGTGTCTCCCGCCCCCAGACCTGGACCCCATCGAGCTCAGCAGCAAGGAGGAGCTGACCGTAACCCTGGGCAGCAGCGTGACCGTGACCTGCTCTGTGCAAGGCCGGCCCGCCCCGGCTCTGCGCTGGACCAAGGTGAGAGGGAAGGGAGACCCCCACGGCGGCCCCCCCCACACCGCCCCCTTCTCCCGTGGCCCACCTGGCTTCTTCTCCCTCCCCCCCCCAGGATGCGGCCCCCCTGGCGGATGGCCCCACACTCTCGCTCAGCTCCATCACCTTCAGTTCCGCCGGCACCTACGTATGCGAGGCCTACACACCCACGGTCCCCCTCCTCAGCCGAACCCGGGCCCTCAAGCTGCTGGTTGAAGGTTTGGGGGTAGGGGCAGCCGGGATGGGGACAATGGGGGTGGGTGGCTGCCAGGACCAATGGGGAGGGACCACGACGGCTGGTCCTCTGTCTCGGCTCTCTTCCTCTCCCCTCCCTCCTTCTCTTCCTCACTCTCCTCTTTCCCTCTCCACGGGGCTTCCTGCTCACGCCCGTCCGCCCACCCCCCACCCACAGGGGTCCCCGAATTAATGCCGGAGAAAATCCAGCCCCAGTCAGGGGGCAGCTGGCGAGAAGGAGACGAAGTGAGGCTGGTCTGCTCTGCCCGGGGCTACCCAGAGCCCAAGTTCATCTGGAGCGAAAAGGGAGAGAGTGTAAGAAACCCTCCCCTCCGCCCTGCGGGCCCCAGGCCCCCTCCCCTCCACCCTGCAGGCCCCAGGCCCCCTCCCCTCCACCCTCCCCCCTGCCCTGCGGGCCCCAGGCCCCCTCCCCTCCGCCCTGCAGGCCACAGGCCCCCTCCCCTCCACCCTGCAGGCCACAGGCCCCCTCCCCTCCACCCTGCAGGCCACAGGCCCCCTCCCCTCCACCCTGCGGGCCCCAGGCCCCCTCCCCTCCGCCTTGGGGGCCACAGGCCCCCTCCCCCCTGCGGGCCCCAGGCCCCCTCCCCTCCGCCCTCCCCTCTGCCCTGCGGGCCCCAGGCCCCCTCCCCTCCGCCCTGCAGGCCACAGGCCCCCTCCCCTCCACCCTGCAGGCCACAGGCCCCCTCCCCTCCACCCTGCAGGCCACAGGCCCCCCTCCCCTCCACCCTCCCCCCTGCCCTGCGGGCCCCAGGCCCCCTCCCCTCCGCCCTGCAGGCCACAGGCCCCCTCCCCTCCACCCTGCAGGCCACAGGCACCCTCCCCTCTGCCCTGCGGGCCACAGGCACCCTCCCCTCCGCCCTCCCCTCCACCCTGCAGGCCCCAGGCACCCTCCCCTCCGCCCTCCCCCTGCCCTGCGGGCCCCAAGCCCCCTCCCCTCTGCCCTCCCCTCCCCCCTGCGGCCCCAGGCCCCCTCCCCAAGCTCCCAGGGGGCACGGACACAGACACTGTGTCCCCTCTCCTACTTCCTGAGGGGCTGGACCCCCTCTTGCCCTCACCCCGGCCCTCGATCCCATGGGCCCAGGCCTGACCCGAGCCCCCGCAGTCCACAGAGCCGGTGCCCGGGGGGCAGGGCTGGGTGAGGAGCTCCCTGACCCTGAAGCTGACCAGCGCCATGAGCCAGCGCGGCGTCTTCTGTGAGGCCTCCAACCCCCACGGGAGCCCCCGGCACGTCTTCCACTTCGGCCACCGTGAGTGAACGCCGCGGGGCCGGGCCCGTGAGTGACTGCCACGGGGGGCGGGGCCGTGAGTGACCGCGCGGGGGCGGGGCCGTGAGTGACCGCGCGGGGGCGGGGCCGTGAGTGACCGCCACGGGGGGCGGGGCCGTGAGTGACCGCGCGGGGGCGGGGCCGTGAGTGACCGCCACGGGGGGCGGGGCCGTGAGTGACCGCGCGGGGGCGGGGCCGTGAGTGACCGCCACGGGGGGCGGGGCCGTGAGTGACCGCCGCGGGGGCGGGGCCGTGAGTGACTGCCACGGGGGCGGGGCCGTGAGTGACCGCCGCGGGGGCGGGGCCGTGAGTGACCGCGCGGGGCCGGGGCCGTGAGTGACCGCCACGGGGGTCGGGGCCATGAGTGACCGCGCGGGAGCCGGGGCCGCGGGAGCCGGGGCCGCGGGGGCCGGGGCCGCGGGGAGCAGCTGGCGAGCTCCCGCCCCGCCTGTCCCCGCAGTGGCCCCCCAGACCTCCCAGGCCGGCGTCGCCGTCATGGCCGTGGCCGTCAGCGTGGGCCTCCTGCTCCTCGTCGTCGCCGCCTTCTACTGCATGAGGCGCAAGGGGCGCCCCGGCTGCTGCCGGAAGGGGGAGAAGGGGGCTCCGTGAGTGACCTCTGTAACCCAGCCCCGCCCCTAGGTCTACCTGACCTCAGCCCCAAGCCCTCGCCCATGACCAACCTCGGTAGAGAGCATGCGGTCTCCAATGCCAAACCCAAATGCAATGCAATCCCCTCGCTCACCTCAAACCTAGTCCATGTCCATCCCCTCCCCCAGCTTCATCCCCAGCTCCAACAGCCTCCTCCAGCTCTGTCATCCTCACACCCACCCGTAAGCCCAGTTAGCACCCTGCCTGACCTCTCCAACCCCAATCTCATCCCCACCTCCAACTCCAACCCTAATATCACCGTCACCAAACACAGCGTAACCCCATAGAATCCCAGTCTCCTCTCCGACCCTGATCTCATCCTCCCCCCACATCCAGCCCCACCTCCAGGCCCAGTCCTCCCTCATTCCCAAACCATCCCATCTAACCTCTCCAACCCCGACTCTATCCCCATCTTCAACCCTCCATAACCACCCCATCTCCAGCCTCCGTCCCAACCACACCCCTCACTCCTTCAACCCTGAGCTCCGACTTCTTCCCCAGCCCCAACCACATCCCAGCTCCAACCATAACCGGCACCAAACCCAGCTTCAACCAATCCCCACCCCCTGGCCCCTCCAGCCCACCTCACTCCCGTTCCTAACACCAAACCCACCCCATCACATGGCCACCCTCAGCTCCCATCCATAGCCCCCCCCCCCCCCCCGCCAAACCTGCCCCAGGGCTGACCCCAACTCAACACCATCTCCAACTCCAGCAGCATCTTGGACCCTCGCTCCAACTCATCCCTAAACCCCAATGCATTACCATCCCCTCCCCATCCCCAACCCATTCCCACCCCCCGCCCTCCAAGTCTGTCTCCTCCATCCGATACAGCCCATCCCCAACGCCTTCCCCAGGGGGACTCCCTCTAACATGGCGCCTCTTCTCCCCAGGCCTGGGGAGCCAGACCTGAGCCACGCAGGGTCCCAGCGGCCCGAGCAGACAGGCCTTCTCCTGGGAGGCGCCTCCGGAGGAGCCCGGCGTGGCAGCGGGGGCTTCGGAGACGAGGTGGGTGCGGGCCTGGGCACCCTGATGAGAAGGGACCGGCTGTGGGGGGTGGGGGGTGGGGACACACAGCTTCCTGGGGCACAGGCTGACCTTCCCACTTTCTCCCCAGTGCTAAGCCTGAGGGCCTCCCGGAGGCAGCCTTCGGACACGACCTGGAGTTGCAGGCATCGGAGAAGCAGCCCTGCTCACGCCCTGCCCTCCCCCGCCTTCCCGGCCGGCCCTCTTCCCTCTCCGGCCCTCCCTTCCTTCCTCTGCCGCTGGGCAGGGACCTGCACACACTGCCGGGAGGAAGGGAGGGGGGTGCGCTCGCTCGCTCATGGGTGGGAGGGGACCTTCCTCCGGGGAGTATGACTCTCCCAGGCCCCAGAATAGCTTCTGGCCCCGCGCCTGGGGCCCGGCCTGGGACCAGGCTCCGAGGGTCGGCCGGCCGAGGCTATTTTTACCTCCTGCCTCCATGGCTGCCCCCCCCCCCGCCCCCCTCCGACCCTGCTGCATAGTCTGACACTGGATCCCACCCCCGCTCCGCCCCTCCTCGAGGACACTGGAGTCTGGAATAAACGCTGTCTGTCACTTGGACACCATGCCTGCGGCCGGAGCCTGCTCTGGGGGAGGCGAGGGGAAGGGGCGCAGGTGATGCTGCCCTCCCCGCCGCTGCTCCTCCGCCCCCCTCGCCAGATCTGGGAGCGGTCTGACGTCATGGAGAAAGACGTGAGAGAGAGAGAGAGAGAGAGAGAGAGAGAGAGAGAGAGAGAGAGAGAGTGCGCGCGCAGGGTGACTCAGCCACCGAGGATGGAAGAAACACCGGGGTCTAGAGGGCGCTGAGTGTGGCCCCTGAGGACCAGGGCCTGCTCGGCGGGTGGGGCGCTGGCCCCGTAAGTAAAAGTTCCCAGGCTCTCCTGCCAGCGCCCCAGAGGGAACTGAAGCTGGGAGAGGAGAGCCTCTCTGAGCTGCTGGCTGAATGGAATCCGAGATGAACTGCCTCCTCTGGGGATGGCATCGCTCCTCGGCTGCGGGAGGAGGGGTGGCTCGGAGAGACCCGGACGAGGGGCCTGGGGCAGGGAGAAGAGGCGGCAGGAGCAGCGAGGCCCTCCGGAGAGACGCACTGAGGAAGGGGGGTTTGGGAGAGGGGGGGGAGGCCTGGGGGAGGGGAGGAAGCAGGCTGGGGCCGCTCAGAGATGAGAGCCCTGGGGTCCGACAGACAGAAAGGTTTGGGGAGAGGGCGGCAGAGACAGTCAAGTAGAGACAAAGAGAAGCAGGGAAAGAAGGGAGGCAGAGGGACCAGGACAGCCCAGAAGCGGAGGCGGAGGCGGCATGCTGACCCGCGCCCATCGCGGAGATGAATCACACTGGGCTCCAGGCCCCGGGCGGCTGCGGGAGGAGGGACGGGACCACCCTGTGGGACACATGCACGGAGGTCTCCTGCTCAGGAGCCTCCGATCTCAGCGCGGGCCTCCACCTCGCCGTCCTCGGTTTGCTCGGCCACAAAACGGACGAAGTGGGCCCTCGTGGCCGTGGCCGTGGCCGGGGAACCCCACCAGAGCCTCTCGAAGCCGGGCGGGCCACGGAGCAGCCTGCCCCGCAGCCCCACGGAGGCCCTCGCCCCTCTGACTCCGGGGCTCCCGTTCCACGGTTGGTTGAATCCGTTTAAAACAAACACAAGAAGCAAAAAGAGACGGGCCAGGCGAACACCTTAGTTCGGGGCAGGCACCGGCGAGCCGAGGTGCCGGACACCTGCGTTGTGGGGTGCGTGTGGCTCCATGTCGGTCTCTCTCACAGAAGCTGTGAGCCCAACCCTCGGAGGAGGAGGGGAGCCAGAAGGGCTGCGCCTGGAAGGTGCCAGGGTCACAAGGACGTGGGCACGGGACCCCGGGGGCAGAAGCCGGTCACCAACGGGGAAGCCCCTTGAGGGTGTGTGGAACGTGGGGGCTCACTCCTCCCTTACCTCCTTCCCACCCATGTTTAGCTCACAGTCCTCACCTCTCTGACAGGCCTCACGAGTCCCTTCTTAGCATCCAACCTTTCTTTCATCTGTCTCCCTCCTTTTTAAAAAAATATATTTTAGCCAAAACCGGTTTGGCTCAGTGGACAGAGCGTTGGGCCTCGGACTGAAGGGTCCCAGGTTCGATTCCGGTCAAGGGCATAAACCTTGGTTGCGGGCACATCCCCAGTGGGGAGTGTGCGGGAGGCAGCTGGTCGATGTTTCTGCTCTCATCGATGTTTCTAACTCTATCCCTCTCCCTTCCTCTCTGTAAAAAAAATCAATAAAATATATATTTTTAAAAAGAAGTTCCATTAAATATATATATGAAGGGAGAGGGATAGAGATCAGGAACATCCATGAGAGAGAAACATCAATCAGCTGCTCCCCGGACACCTCCTGCTGGGAATGCACCCACAACCCCACAACCCGATGCTCTACCCACTGAGCCAAACCGGTTAGGGCTCATCTGTCTCCTTATCCGTGTGACTTTATTGTTCTCTCTAACAGGATTGAGTATTCTTAAAAAAACAATACAGCAGACACACACAGAGGGTCCTGGTGTGATTGGGCGGGTTTGATGGACGACAGCGGGAAGTGTGCAGTACAAAGCCCGGACGGAGGCGGTGCTCCGGACATGGTTACTAGGCATTCTTCCCCGAGGGAAACGGGCAGAGCGAGATGCGGCCCCTTGTCGCAGGGAAGGAGCCAGGACCGCGGCGAGAGGGGGTCTGAGGAGCGGGAGGGGTAGGGAGCAGATGTCTGGGGGAAGGGGAGAAGGGAGACTCCAGGGAGGAAGGGGTTCTCCGCCCGCCCGGCACCTGGTCCCCAAGTTAATGAGGGAGCGTCCGGGCCCACCTCCCGGGAGGGCGTATGTTTGCATAGGATCCCTCATCTGCATAGCATCCGGCACATTTGCATGCAGATGGCAGCCTGAGCCCTCCTCAGCCTGACCCCTCCTCCCACCTTGGCTGAGGGTCTGGGGGGAAGGGGGAGGAGAGCGGGGGAGAGGTAAACTACAGCATCTGGGGCTCCAGGAAGTGCAGGCGAGTTGAGAGTAGACCCCCCTTGCTCCTCCGCCTTCTGTGGCTCCCTATTGCTCTGAGGAACAGGAGCAATATGACCCTTCCCCCGACATTCAGGACCCTCACACCATCCAGGACTCACTGACTCGCTCTCACAGATGTCGCCCCTGTGCCTTTGTGACTTTACTGCCCCCTGACCTGGAAGGTCGCCCCCCCCCCCCATGACAAAGCTTGCTGGTCCTTCAAAGCTTGCAATTTTTTTTTTGTATAGTTTTATTGATTTTTCATAGAGAGGAAGGGAGAGGGATAGAGAGTTAGAAACATCAATGAGAGGGAAACATCGACCAGCTGCCTCCTGCACACCCCCTACAGGGGATGTGCCCGCAACCAAGGTACATGCCCTTGGCCGGAATCGAACCCGGGACCTTTCAGTCCGTAGGCTGAAGCTGTATCCACTGAGCCAAAGCTTGCACATCTTGAAGGATTCTGAAAAGTGTTCACTCCCCTTCCCCTGCCCTTGGGACTTTACAAGAATCTGTACCTCTTCTGAACCCCTATAGACTTCATTAGTAAGGATATGTTTGGGTTGCCAATGACCCCAAAAATGTGTGAGTGAAAAGGAAAAGTTATTCCCTCGTAACAGGAATATCAGAGGCTATCAGTAGGGATTTTCCATAAGGAAACAGGTTGGCCCTGGCTGGTTTGGCTCAGTGGATAGAGCATCCGCCTGTGAAATGAAGGGTCCTGGATTTGATTCCAGTGAAGGGCACATTCCTGGGTTGTGGGCTCAATCCCCAGTGGGGGGCTGCAGAAGGCAGCCAATCATTTCATTCTCTCTCATCATTGATGTTTCTTTTTTCTTTTTTAAATATATTTTTATTGATTTTTTACAGAGAGGAAGGGAGAGAGATAGAGAGCTAGAAACGTCGATGAGAGAGAAACATCGACCAGCTGCCTCTTGCACACCCAGTACCGGTGATGTGCCCGCAACCAATATACATGCCCTTGACCGGAATCGAACCTGGGACCTTTCAGTCCTGCAGACCAATGCTCTACCGCTGAGCCAAACCGGCTTTGGCTGATGTTTCTATATCTCTTTCTCCTTCTCCCTTCCTCTTTGAAATCAGTAAGACATACATTTCAAAAAGAAAGGGAACTGGGGTGGGCCGGGGAGAAGGGAGCTGAGAGAGGGAGAGAGGTTGCTGGGCAGGTGAGAGACCCGTTGCCCATGGGACAACACGGGGGCTGTGGGCGCTGCTGCCTCCTGCAAGGCAGGAAATCTGCATCACCTACAACTCCACAGCTCCCTCAGATGCCTTTGGCCCGGGGCCCCCACTCCTCGTGGCTATGACTCTTCAGTCATTGTTGACACTGGAAGTTGGCTCCTCAGGCATGGGACCCACCTAGTCCTTTGTCAACAGAACCACACGGCTCAGCCTCAAAAGTGCTCCTGGGGGCGGGGGCGGGGGGGGGTGTGGCGAAACTCCTGCCTGCTCTCCCCGGGTTGGCCTCGGGCCTCACCTGTGCCCACAAAGAGCAGCATGGAGAGCGGAGCCCGGAGGAGAGGGGGTACGCAGGGGCCTCCCAGGAAGAAATCTCTTGGAGACTCGTTATTTTGCTCAAGAGAGAAACGGGGGCCCAGGATTTTACAAAGCAAGTGAGTAGCAAAAGCTGCTCATAAAACTCAGAGATCCTGCCGAAACCGGTTTGGCTCAGTGGATGGAATGTCGGCCTGCAGACTGAAGGGTCCCGAGTCCGATTCCGGACAAGGGCATGCACCTTGGTTTCGGGCACATCACCAGTAGGGGGCGTGCAAGAGGCAGCTGATCGATGTTCCTCTCTCATTGATGTTTCTAACTCTCTATCCCTCTCCCTTCCTCTCTGTAAAAACATCAATAAAATAAAATGATCCTGTGGTAGGCAGGTAGACCGACGTGAGCAGGAGCAGGGCAGGGCCAGATACAGGTCACCAGAGCGGAGAGCCCCAGGTGCCTCACAAGGCAAACAAAGTTATGCCCCCAGGGTAACCTTCCCTCCCCTTCCCTATTGCTGATCCTTCCGTTTGGATCCCCTGACTTTTCCCCCTTGTTGTACTTTAGCTCCAGGCTCAGAAAAGAAGCAACAGCCAACACCGGTTTGGCTCAGTGGATAGAGCGTCGGCCTGCGGACTGAAAGATCCCGAGTTCGATTCCAGTCTAGGGCATGTACCTTGGTTGCAAATACATCCCTAATAGGGGGTGTGCAAGAGGCAGCTGATCGATGATTCTCTCTCATCCATGTTTCTAACTCTCAATCCCTCTCTCTTCCTCTCTGTAAAAAAATCAATAAAATATATTTTTAAAAGAAGAAGCAGCAGCAGCAGCAGCAGACAAGCGAAGGCTGCCTCAGTACGGGGTGCACTGACTAATGACCCCCTGCCCTGGCCCCCACCAATCAGGGGAGACCAGGACCCCGGAAGAGCACACCTGGAAAACAGATGAATAGTTTGCAGAAACTCTCTCTGAGACCTATCCCAAGATTCCCACCTGCAAGAGAGAAATAAACACTCTCCAGACAAAAGATCCAGCAGGTGCTCTCCCTCTGGGGAGCATACCCCTGCCATTCCCTCCCTCCTCCCACTCCTTCCCCCGCAGGCACCTGTCTCTAAACTCTAAGAGGTCCCGTGAGTCTTGCAACCAGGGGAGCAGTGGGCAGCGGCAGCTGGTCCTGGGCTAACCCCAGGGGCTTGTCTCCCAGCCCCCTTCCCTCAGACTTCCCAGGGAGCCACAGCAGCCCCGCCCGGCTCTCCTGCTGCCGCTTCGAAGCTAAGCTCCTCCTGGTGTCCCTGTCTTGAATGTGCTTTTGCTGTGGCCAATACAGCGTCTCGCTTGCTCTGCCGCACTGTGTCTCCTGACTGGATTTCCTCCTTCATGTGAACAGGAACCAAGGTCTCGGTCTCGTTGTCTTACCGGGAACAGTGCTGGCCCTCTCGTCTGGCCCAGATTGGGGGAAGAAGGACTCGAAGATCTAGAGCACATTTATTATGCACGTACTTGCCAGCCAACCTTGCGCTAGGCTGTGCCTAGCCTGAGGTACACATTATCTCCAGGCCCAGCCTGCACCTCCTTGCGGGGTTAGCTTGGAGAAATCTACTCAGGGCCCAGTGTCCTTTTCCAGTGAAATGGGGACCATGAGAGTGTCCCCTTCATGGGGTTCTTAGGAGAAATGAACTAAGAGAAGCCAGTCCGTTCCGGATCTGCCGGTTTGTAACCCTGGGACTTTGGATCGAGCCACTTCATTTTCTCTGTGCCACGATTTTCTGATCCCTTAGGGTCTGTGTGGGTTATATGCGACCCTAGGCCAGTGGCTAGCACATGGTAGGTGCCAAATACATTTATTTTTAAAAATATATATTTTATTGATTTTTTACAGAAAGGAAGGGAGAGGGACAGAGAGGTGGAAACATCGATGAGAAAGAAACATCAACCAGCTGCCTCCTGCACACCCCACACTGGGGATGTGCCCACAACCAATGTACATGCCCTTGACTGGACCTCTCTGTCCGCAGGCCAACGCTCTATCCATTGAGCCAAACCAATTTCGGCGCCAAATGCATTTATTAGCAGTATTATTATTACCAAGACATGAACGCCGCTCCATAAGTCTCGGCTCCCTGAGCTTCTGGGAGGAGAGCTCAGGTGTATGGCGGATGGGGCAGGAGGGAAAATCTAAGGGGTGATCTTTGCTAGCAAGCCCCAGGCATCTGCTCCCAGAGGATCAGCTCAGCGCCTAGAGGCACTGGATCGGAGGGATTACAGGCGCTTAGTGGCATCCCCTCCCTCGGCCTTCTGGCTTCATGCCTTCACCCAGACTAGCTGGGCGGCCTCACCAGCTCCCCCGGGGCAGCACAAGGAATGTGAAGAGGTAGGTGGGGCTGGGGAGGAGCGGGAGCCGCGGGGAGAGACAAGGGGGCAGAGCCGCGGGGAGAGACAAGGGAGCGGAGACGAGCAGAGACGCGAGGAGGCGAGGAAGATAGGGAAGTGGGACGAGGACGCGGAGAGTGCCTGGAGGCCAAATCCTGGCTGGGCCCAGCAGAGGGCCGCGCGCGGGGGCCGGTCTGTGCTGCCCCCTGGCGGACGGGCGTAGGAAGGAGGCGGTGCGGACCAGATGGAGGAGGATGAGGGGATGGATGCACCAGGAACAGAAAATAGAGACAAGGGGCAGAGACATCGGGAGAGAGACACAGAGAGAAGCGAGACACCGAAAGAGAGACAACGCACAGAGACAGGGCCAGACACAGGCACAGAAAGAGACAGACATGGAGATAGATAAAGGCAGAGACACAGAGACCCACAGGACCAAGTGAAACATAAACAGAGATAGGAAGACACAGAGAGCCCAGAAACACAAAGCGATAAGATAGTGAGAGACACAAAGACGGAGGCACTCAGAGACATCTAGAAAGAAACGATGCAGCGACGCCCAGAGTCCGCCGAGGAAGAGGTGTAGGAAGAGAAAGAGGCCGCTCTGAGGAGCCCCCCCAAACGGGAGACAGACACACAGCGAGCGAGGGGCGAGAGCAGAAGTCGGAGGCGGGGCTGGGGCTGGGGGTCCGGGCGCCAGGGCGGGGCTCCAGAGGGGGCGAGCCTAGGAGAGCCCGCGAGCCCCGCGCAGGTGTGGCGGGAGGGCCAGGACCTTCGCCGGGGGCGGGGCTAGAGCTGTGGGAGGGGCTAAGGCCGGGCAGCGGGCTCTCGGGTTGGAGAAGCTACGATGGACAGGGCGGGGCCTCGAGGAGGGGCGGGGCCTCACGGCGGGGGCTCGTGGAGGGCGGGGCCTCGCGGAGGGGGGCGGGGGACGGAGACGGCCGGGGCCTCAGTGGAGCCCCCAGGAGACGGAGAGCGGAGCTCCTGGGGAGAGGGGGCGTGGCCAGAGCACGAGGGGGAGAGGCTTGAACCCCTGAAAGGGTTAGAGAATTCGGGGGGTGGGCCGATCGTCGACCCCGGCGGGGCGACCGTGGAATCCAGAGGGGCGGCAGGTGTGGAACCGTGGGAGGGGCGGGCGGAGTGCGGGGCGGGGAGTGTGGGATCATGGGAAGCGGAGCGCCGGGCGCTAGGCGGGCGGGGCGCGCTTCCCGGGTAGGGCCTGTTTGGAATCCCGGGAGGGGGCGGAGCCGCCGGGGCTCGGCGGGGCTGGGCTGGGCAGGGCAGGGGGTGGGTCCTGTGACGTCGTCCTAACAGCCAGAGAGGAGCTTAGCGGCCCGGGGGCACGGAGCCCGGAGAGCCGGGACCGAGATCGACGAAGCCGGGGGACGGGAACGCTGCGGGCGGGAGCCGGCCGGGAGCCGGAGCCCCTCAGGCACCTGCTGGTTCGCCCAGGCGGTTGGCGCTCGCAGAGTGGTCCGCAGGCCTCCGCCCGCCCGCCCCCAGCCCCTCCCCGGGCCCCCCATGGCCCGGGCCGCGGCCCTCCCGCCGTCGAGACCGTCGCCGACTCCGCTGCTGCCGCTGCTGCTGCTGCTGCTGCTCCGAGAAGCCGGTGAGCGCCCCTCCCGCGCGGACCCAGCCCCCTGCCCCCCTCCCGAGGGGGGCCCTGAGCACCCTCCCCACCCCTCCCCCAATGCGCCGGCCCTGGTTTGCGCGCCCCCCTTTCCGGACCGGCCCCACCGACTCAGACCGCCTCCCCCGCCCCCCGATCTGAGTGAGACTCCCACCCTCCCCTCTCCGCCGCCCTCCCATCCTAATCCCAAACTCCCCAGCCTTCGTCGGACCCCCGTTCCCCCGCGCGCCCCTTCCCGAGGCTCTGATCCGGGGCCGAAAGGGTTAAAGCCCAGGCCTCTCGCCCCCTCCCCGCCCCGCGCCGCTCAGCGCCTCTGGACCTGGACATCCGTCCGCTTCCTCCCTCAGGAATGTGTCCACCCCCCCAGCTGGGGGGTCGGGAAGACGAGGAGGCGAGATCAGGGTCCCCCGCCCTTATTTTTTGTTTTCCCGGGGCTGGGCCTCTGAGGCTCGCCCTGGGAATGCGGAGGGCACGGCCTGGAGCAGGGGCGGGAGCTGGACTTTCGGCCCCTCGGAGAGGCCGGGAGGGGAGTTGGGGCGACCCGGGGAGGGCCTTCGGGGAGCCGAACCCCGACTCCGGGGCTCCGGGGGAAATGAGGGGCTGGGAGCCCTGCGTTCTGGGTCTCCGGGAGGATGAAGGCGAGGGGCTCTGCCTCCTGGGGTTCGGGTGAGAACCGGGGGCGAGGAGCTCACAGATTCCTGGGTTCTAGACTCCTTGGGGGGTGGTTGCAAGAGGCAGCCCCTGTCCTGGGCTTCGGGGTGTGCCCTGAGGTCCAGGCCCGCAGCCGGGCAGGGGCCCTGTCACTGGGGTCCTGCGTGTCCCCGGGGGCCGGGGGCTCGGGCGGGAGGCCGCCGCGGGCCGGGCGGCGGAGGAAGGGGCGCGCCCCGCGGTCTGGAAACTTCCCGGCCCGGCCGCCGGCGGGGACCTCCCTCCCTGGGGAAGTTTTTCCCGTTTCACTTTCACCTGAGCCCGGCCGATACCGGCGGGCGCGCCCGGCTCCCGGTTCGGGCTCCCGAGTTTCGGGGACTTTACCGCCTCGGGCCGCGCCTTTGTCCTCCGAGCCGCCGCCGCCGCCGCGGGAGGGGAGCCGGCGCCGCCGCCTAATCCCCGTCCCCGCCCCCCTCCGCGGCCGGAGCCCCTCCAGCCCGGCCCGGGGGGAGGGGCGCGGCCCGGGGAGGGGGAGGGGGAGGGGGAAGGCGAGAGAACAGGTGAAACTGGCTGCGGCCCCGCCCCTCCAGGTGACCTGGCTTTTCATTCCCCAACCGGAAGCTCGGGTCCCTGGGTTTCCCTAGGGTTTGCCCGGGGGGATCTGGAGGGGGAACCTCGGGTCACCTCTCTGACCTCATTTCCCCCCGCGTGTCTCGGAGCCCTGACCCAGAGCTGAGTGAGGGCCGCCTTCTCCCTTCCCTGCCTCTCCTTCCTGGGGGAATGCTCCGACTGCACCCCGCTTTGAGCCAGCCAGCTCAGGGAATGCTCTAGATGGGGCCTGGGTCCTGTCCCTGTTCCCATTTTGCGGATGAGGGGACGGGCTTGGGGAGGGCCCGCCGCTCTCCCAGGACCGGCTGAGAAGCCAGACTTCAGACGTAACCCAGAGCCTTTCTTGGCCCCGCGCTCAGGGTGGGCTCCAGGCAGCCCCTCAGCCTGCATTTCCTCCTCGGTAACCGGGATCACGGTCCCTGCCGGCAGGCCCCTGGGCGGACTCGGAGCCCTGCTGATCCCTGTGAAAGCTCTTAGCCTGCCCGCAGGGAGGGAGCCTCCCCTTTGACCCTTTCTCCTTGTGCCTCTGCTCTCTGCTGACTTTCTCTCTCTTTGCCTTTTCCTCCCTCCCTTTCTCTCTCTCTATCTCTCTCCTTCCTTCCTTTTCCCTCACTTTCTCTCTCCCTCTTCCTGTCTTCATTTCTCTCTCCTTCTCTGTCCCTCATCTGTCTCCATCTCAGAGCGCTCTCTCTCTTTCTCTCTCTCTTTCTCTCCTTTCCTTCTATCTCTGTGCCTGTCTCTGGCTCTCCACTTCCTTCTCCTTGGCCTGACCAACGAGGGTGCACCACCAGGGCCTCGCAGCTCTCACTGCCCACCCGTGTCAGCCAGGCCTCCCATGGCAGCGAGGGGGATGGGAGCAGAGGGGACTCCAGGCCTGCTGTCTCTTCTCATTCGGGAAGGGACACTCACATCCTGGGGAGAGGGGGAGGGGACGCATGGAGACAGAAGCCAACAGACAGTTTTAAGGATGGGGTTAGAAACGCAGGAGGTAAGGGAAGGATGGCCCAGAAAAACACTGGGTGGGACCGAGACCCCAGGATAAAGGAAAATGGCCTTTGGAGAGAGACTTGGGAGCCCAGAAGAACCCCTTGGTGACTGACTGGTGGAGGTGTTAGGACACTGGGAGGTCAGGGCACAGGCTCCTCAAGGCCAGCATTGTGTGTGTGCCGGCGGGGGGGGGGGGGGGGGGGGCAGGGAGGGACAGGGAGTTGGGCACGCCGGCCAGCTCCCCCGCCACCCCACCCCCCGCTCGAGACGCTGTTACATTTTTAATGTCCCCGAGATACAGAGAAATGAAGCAGGGGAGGAGGAGAAAAAGGGACCCAGCGAGATGGCCCAGGCAGAGAGAAAGTATGTCAGAGATGAGGGGAGACGGGGAGACCCAGGAGGCAGAGAAGCAGACCCTGAGAGGTGTGGAACCTTGAGAGATTCCAGACCCAGGGAATCAATTCAGAGAGCCAGATTCCGGGGACTGGCAGGCAGGACCCGGGAACTCCGAGACCACGGATGTCAGAGATACTGAGGAGAGTATGGGGACAGCTAAGGCATGCGGGAATATCTTCTCAGGCCAGGAAAACTGTCCTGGAATTGGTGGTGCCGATGGATGCACAAACCGATGAATATACTAAAACTGGACACTTAATTTTTAAAATATACTTTTGTTGATTTCAGAGAGGAAGGGAGAGGGAGAGAAACATCAATGATCAGAATCATTGATCGGCTGCCTCCCGCACACCCCCTACTGGGGACCGAGCCCGCAACCCAGGCATGTGCCCTTGACCGGTATCGAACCCGGAACCTCTCAGTCCACAAGCCAAACCGGCTAGGGCTAACACTGGGCCCTTTAAATGGGCACATCGTACAGTCTGGGAATGTATCTCACTAAAGCTGTTAGAGAATACGAAAGAAACGGTGTGGAGACCTGGGCCTGGGAGTTGGGGACACAGGAGACCAAGTCAGACCCTAACAACCAGGTGCAGAGCGAGAAACCGGAGCAGAGAAACAGAAACATGTAGAGCGGCGTCTGAGAGGTTCCTCTGAGGGGCTCAGCCAGGGAGAGCAGCCTAGAGATCCGCCCTAGCAATGGAGACCCCCCAGGGGAGGCGTTGGGGTACGGAGCCCCTGGGGGAGGGAGAGGGAAGGCAGGTGCAGAATCCGGGCCGAGGCAGGCAGCCCTGCATCCTGCCAGACTGCCTCCGGATGTCTGCTGTGAGGGTGGGCCCTGTGATTAATGCAATTAATTAATTATCGGAGGTGGCTGAGGCAGCAGCTGAGGCCAGCGCTGGAGCACACTGGCCTTCAAAGGCCTGCGGAGCCTGGCCTCGCCCTGAGGGGAGGGCGGGTCACGCTGGGGCTTTATAGGGTTTGAGTGGGTGAGCCAAGCCCCAGGAGCCAGCCAGGTGGGGCCCGTCTCAGACCTGAGGGACAGTCCCTGGCCTCTCCCCCCTCCAGGGCTCCGAAAGTCTGTGTCCCCCCCTCCGCCTGGATCTCCCCCTCCTGCGCTCACACCACAGGAAGCCTGCAGGCCGGGCCTCGGGGAAAGGAAGCGTGTCTGGGGACCCAGCTGACACCTCATGAAGCTGTCACCAGTCTGACCTGAGGGAAGCCGGTGTTCCCATGGCCGCTCTCCCCCACTGTGGGGCCGGCCACGGCCCGGCCAAGGTCAGAGCGTGGGCACCCACCCAGCAGCGTGCGGGATGCGAGGGCCCTGCCTCCAGGCCAGCCATCTTCCTGGCTTTGTTCCTCCCTACTCCACCCGAAACTCAAAACATCAGGGCATTGGCCCCCACCCTGTTCCCCTCACCCCACAGCCCCTCAGCGCTCCCGTCATCCTAACCATTCTAACACCTGGACGTGTTCCAGCCCAGCTTGTCCTCCATCGCCATCACTCCCACCCTGGTCCAGGAGCCTTTTCTTCCCCTGGGTCCCAGCCCTACTCCATTCTGAGGGCTTTTATCTAAAGCACAAACCTAACCCTGTTCCCCCGCCTCCACCTCCGCCTGTCTATAACTCTCTATGGCTCCCCAGTGCCCTCAGGAAAAAGTCCAAGCCTGTACTCAACTTCAGCCTGTGTGGCCCAGTGTGCTGTCGATTTCCCATCCTCATCTCATTCATTCACCACGTTTATGAAACTCCCGCAGTGTGCCAGGCACTGTGCTAGGCTCTGGGGAGGCAGCAGCGGGAAACAGGGCTGAGGCCGAGAATCCCTGCCCCTCCCCGCACTGGTATTCCAGCGGAGGAGATAGAGAGGAGCCGGAGGGAGAAGATTAGGTGGGAGAGACGGAGAAAGTGAGGGCGGGAGCTGGGGAGACCCGTGGGGGGGAGAGCTTTCCTGAGTCGGGAACAGCAAGTGCAGAGGCCCCAGGTGGGACTTGCCTGATATGTTGAGAAGCTGGAGGAGGCCAGTGCGGCCGGAACGGGGTGAGCCACGGGGGAAAGGGTGGGAGACGAGGTCAAGAAGAGGACGAGCCAAAACCAATTTGGCTCAGTGGATAGAGTGTCAGTCTGCGGACTGAAAGGTCCCAGGTTCGATTCCGGTCAAGGGCATGTACATTGGTTGCAGGCATATCTCAGGTGGGGGGTGTGCAGGAGGCAGCTGGTCGATGATTCTCTCTCATCGATGTTTCTAGCTCTCTATCCCTCTCCCCTCCTCTCTGTGAAAAATCAATAAAATACATTAAAAAAAAAAAAAAAAAAAAAGGAGGACAAGCACAGACCATGGACCTTGTGACCGTGGTAAAGACCTGAGCTTTTTTCTGAGGGGAGAGAGAGCCATGGGAGGACTCGGAGCAGAGGAGGGGCTGGATCTGATAAAGCGTGGTCGGCAAACTGGCTCGAGCCACATGCGGCTCTTTGGTCCCTTGAGTGTGGCTCTTCCACAAAATACCACGTGCAGAAGTCGGTTTTCTGCTTTCAAAAGAAGTTTCAATTGTTGATATTTGGCCCTGTTGACTAATGAGTTTGCCAACCACTGTGCTATAGCGTCTAACAGGACCTCCCTGGCTGCTTGTGGCAATACACTGTGAGGCAACTGCCATCCTTCCAGGAGATAGGTGACAGTTGCTTGTATATATTTTTTTTTAAAAGGAGAGACTTTTAATTGATTTCAGAGAGGAAGGGAAAGGGAGAGAGAGAAACATCAATGATGAGAGAGTCTCATGGATCGGCTGCCTCTTGCACACCTCCTGCTGGGAATCTAGCCCACAACCTAGGCATGTTGCCCTTGACCGGGATGGAACCCAGACCCTGCAGTCTGCAGGCCGACGCTCTATCCACTGAGCCACACCGGCCAGGGCTGTAGATGTGTTTTAAAGGTGGAGCTGACAGGTTTCCTGATGGACTGACTGCATGTGGGGTGAGAGAGAGGGGGGACTCAGGGATGACTCCAAAACTCTGATCCTAAACCTTTACCTGAATTGGAAATGCCTAAAAAAAACGGGCTGTCCCCTCACAGGGACAGAGCCATCCTGGTCATTGATTCGGAAGTAGAGACTTAGAATGGGAGGCTTGTAGCTGCAGGATCTCAGAACCCGGTCAGCGGGGGGAGAGGCGTGTGGCCATCGGGGCCAGGGTCCGGGGCGGGAAATGACCTGGGAGTTGGCAGCTCCAGAAGCTCCAAGTGGGTTGGTTTGTTTTTAAATCTGAGGCTGGCTGCTGAGGCGCCACCCTAGTTGTGCAAGGGCAGCCTCCCTCCGAGGAGAGAGGGAGCGTCTCGCAATCCCAGGACCCAGACGGGCGTGGGGCCCTGGGCCTGGAGCTCAGTTTCCCTGTCAGTTCCTCCAGGAGAACCTCCCAGCCCCCGTCCGGTGGGTAATACCCTGCTCCAGATCCTTCCCCCACTCCCACCTCCTTCAGCCTCAACCACATCCGAGGTGCTGCCCGTTTGTGCAATGTTTGCCTTCCCTCCGGAATGTCACCTCCCGGAGGACAAGCGCCGGGTTTGGCCTGGTACTTCTGTGGCACCGGCTGTGGGGATACAGGAGGGAACCAGACAGGTCCCTGTCCTCAGGGGCTGGCTCTCACACCCCCGAGCCTGTTTGTCAGCCACCATTTGGGTGTGCACAGAAGGGGAAAGCATGGCGGGAGAGGATCCTCCCAGGTCCCTACATCCCTTCAGTTCTGCACCAAGTCTCCGTCTTAGCGTCTGGGTCTTTTTATCCAGCCCTTTTCGGGGGGGGGGGGGGGGGCTTTTGCTATCTGACGATCCGTTTCCATCCAGCTCCCCCCTAAGCCGAGCCATTCTCCAACCGAGGGACCCTCCGCGCCTCCCACCTGCCTCAAGGAGAAAGCCCACCTCCGTGGTCCCACCTGCTTTGCTCTCTCTCCGTAGCTCAGGGCCTGGGTGTTTTTTCCTGACAGAGTGCCCTCCCTCCTCGCCGGGCTAGGGAGGGGCGGAGCCTTGGGGGCCCTTGTCCGGCTTCCTGCCTTTGGGAGCCAGGTGGGTGAAGGGTCCTGGCACCCCAGGGGATGTCCTGAGGGAAGGGGCGGTCCCCAGCAGCTCCTCCCAGCTGGCCTCCCACCATGGCCATTTCGGTCTGGATTTTGGCGGTCAGTCTCCCCACCCTCTGTGCTGCTGGCTCAGGGTGAGACAGCGTTGTGAGGGCTGCGCCAGGCCCTGCGAAGACTTGGGCGAGGAAATCATTTTGTGGAACTTCCCACGGGCCTTGCAGGGCAGCTTAGACACCCCCATTGTACAGATGGGGGAAACTGAGGCCCAGGAACAAGTCACCCTCCCGGAGGGAGCCAGGGGGAAGCCCCCAGGGATCCCACACGCCCGAGTCTGTAGAGCTGCCCCCGGAGGGGAGCACCCCTCCCTGGGGGCGCCCTCGGGTTCCAGGGGTGGATGTGTGTGTCACACAGTGGCCTTCGCTGATGGATGGCTTTTTTCCAAAGGCCCCTGGCACTGGCCCCACCCACGGGTGGCCTTTGGCTGGCACCCTCTCATTAGGGCCGCCCGCTGCTGCGCTTTGGTGCGGAGGCCACGCTGGGTCAGGCAGAGCGGGGCGTGTGCCCGTGGCCGGCCTTGCCCGGAGGCTGAGTGACAAGGGCTTCTTGATGATGCTCAGCTTGTTTGTTTAACACGCAGTGGTCTGTGCTTCCTGTGGCCTCGCACAAGTGCTCCACAAATATCCCTAAAGTTCATAGCAGCCCCTGGCTGTGCACACGGCTGTTATCCTTGTGTGACAGCGGAGGAGACTGAGGCACAGAGAGGTTACATGGCTTGCCCAAGATCACACAGCCAGCAAATACAATAGGTCGTCTTTACCCTCAGTTGCCATAGAAACATTCAATGTTTCTCCCTTTCTCCTTTTCTCTCTCTCTCTCTCTCTCTCTCTCTCTCTCAAATCAAGTTTTTTAAATGTTCTTTTTTTTTAAAGCGAGAAAACTGCCTGGCCAGGGTGGCTCAGTGGTTGAGTGTCGACCCATGCACCAAGAGGTCACCGGTCAGATTCCCAGTCAGGCACATGCCCGGGTTGTAGGCTCAGTCCCCAGTAGGGTCATGCAGGGGGCAGCCGATCAATGAAGTCATGGTTCCATTCCCAGTCAGGGCACATGCCCAGGTTTTAGAGTCCAGCCGATCAATGATTCTCTCTCACCATTGATGTTTCTATCTCTCACCCTCTTCCTTCTCTGAAATCAATGAAAACATACTAAAGAAAAATAAGATGGGGAAAGAGAGCTGTAGGTTTTTGTTTTTGTTTTTTTTTAATATATTTTATTGCTGAAACTGGTTTGGCTCAGTGGATAGAGCATCGGTCTGCGGACTGAAAAGTCCCAGGTTTGATTTCGGTCAAGGGCATGTACCTTGGTTGCGGGCACATCCCCAGTAGGGGGTGTGCAGGAGGCAGCTGATCGATGTTTCTCATCGATGTTTCTAGCTCTCTATCCCTCTCCCTTTCTCTCTGTAAAAAATCAATAAAATATATTTTAAAAATGTTTTTAATTGAGTTTTTTACAGAGAGGAATGGAGAGAGAGAGAGAAACATCAATCAGCTGCCTCCTGCACACCACCCACTGGGGAAGTGCCCGCAACCAAGGTACATGCCCTTGACCGTACTTGAACCTTCAGTCAGCAGGCCAACGCTCTATCCACTGAGCCAAACCAGCTAGGGCCCAAGGATATTTTTCCATTGATTTTTAGAGACAGTGGAAAGGAAGGGAAGAGACAAAGAGGGAGAAACACCCCTGTGAGAGAGACCACCCCTGGGGGAGGGGATGGAGCCCCAGGGGGTGCCCTGCACTAGAATTGAAGATCCTTTGGTCTAAGGGCCTGCTGAGGGGCTGCGCTCTGTTCACTGAGCCAGAGTAGCTACGGCTCAAAAATTGGGGGGGGTGTTCTTTATTTTTTCTTGTTTTTGTTTTTTTTTGGGGGTGGGAGGGAGGCTCAAAGTTTTAAAAAATTTATTTTGGGATAGGCTATATTTTAATCAGTTTTGTTTCAGAGGATTTTTTTTTTCCTTTCCAACATTTGATACTGAAAAGTTTCAAATATACAGGTATGAGTTGGAAGCACAGCCCCTCCTACTACACTTGACAGTTTGTAACATTTTGCCATGTTTGTTTCACCACTTTTTCTAGACCTTTTTATAGTTTTTGCTGAAAAATAAGCAGTTGAGAGTATGTTGCAGACGTGACATTTAATCCTATATTTTCGTTTGTATTGATTTCAGAGAGGAAGGGAGAGGGAGAGAGAAACATCCATGATGAGAGAGAATAATTGATTGGCTGCCTCCTGCACGCCCCCCACTGGCGATCGATCCTGCAACCTGGGCATATGCCCTGATCGGGAATCGAACCTGTGACCTCTTGGTTCCTGGGTCGAAACTCAACCGCTGAGCTACACCTGGCTGGGCTAATCCTATATTTTCTAAGAAAAAGGAATACCCTATAACCATAATTTATTTAAAGCATCTGAGAACATTAACAGTAACTCCATAATAACATGTCATATAATCTGGACTCAAATGTTCTTAGCTTTTCACGAAACATCTTTTCTGGCTGGCCTTTTTAGAATCTCTGCTTCCCGAAAGCTGAGCATGGTGTTTTCCCAGGCGGCTCCCTCCCGCCTCGGTGGGGGCCCCGCCCCCCTGGAGGTCTGGGTCCTCCCCTCACCCACCCCTCTCTCTGCTCTCTCCCCAGGAGCCCAGAATGGGCGGGTCAGCATGCCCCCCGAGGTGCGGGGCCGCCTGGGGGACACGGTGGAGCTGCCGTGCCACCTGCTGTCGCCGGGGCCCAAGGGCAACGTCTCCCAGGTGACATGGCAGCGGCTGGACCCGTCCGGGGACCTGCAGAGCGTGGCCGCCTTCCACCCGTCCCACGGCCTCAGCTTCCCCAGCCGGCAGTTCCCCAAGGACCGGCTGTCCTTCCGTTCCATGGGACAGAGCCCGGGCGCCCGGCCGGGCGCCGAGCTGCGGGACGCCACGCTGGTCCTGCAGGGGCTGAGAGTGGAGGACGAGGGCAACTTCTCCTGCGAGTTTGCCACCTTCCCCCTGGGCACCAGCCGTGGGGTGACCTGGCTCAGGACCATAGGTGAGCAGGGGCGAGGGGGTGGCGGGCAGGGTGGGAGAGCCCCCTCGCTGGTCTCTTTCTGTCTGCTTTCTCCGCAGCCTTCAGTCAGGCGGCAAGCATTAAGCAAGTACCGTTTGCCGGATGCTATTCTGCAGGTTGGGAATATAGCAGCCAACATGGCATTCAACAGACATACCTTGAATACCTACTGTGTGCCAGACACTATTGTAGGCTCCAGGGGTAAAGTCCTCCTGGGCTTATACTCCGAGAAAGGGGTGCCAGGGACTGAGTAAAAAGAAAAAGGGGTGAGTCAGGTGGCGGTAGGTGCTATAGAAGTTGGGGGGGAGCAGGGAGGTCTGGCGATACCTGAACGAGAACTGGAATGAGGTGACGGAGCCGGGTAGACCTACGTGAGGGAGGAGAGGTCAGGCAGGGGGGTGATAAGTGCAAAGGCCCTGAGGTAGGGTGCACTGGGGATATCTGAGGAGGCGCAAAGACGGCTGTGTGGCTGGAGATGTGTGAATGGGGAAAGCAGGCAGGGACAAGGTCAAGGAGGCGATGGGTTGTAGCCGGCCGTGCAGGCGACATGAAGACTGGCCCGATTCTGGGAGGACAAGAGCTGCGGGAAGTTCTGAGCAGAGACGGGCGTGACTGGCTTGGTGTTCACAGGCTCCGTCCGCTGCGTGGGGGGAGAAAGTGGAAGCTGGGAGACCCCAGAGGAGGCGACTGCGAAAGTCTGGGGAGGAAGTGATGACGACTGAACCACGGTGGAGGCAGTGGAGAGGGGGAAATATGTGAGGCCAGAGGAAGACAGTGAGTGAACAAGCCAGCATGTCGCAGTGCTCCCTGGGAGTAAGAGCTCCAGCGCCTATGCAGAGAGCCAGGGCCGCTGAAAGAGGAGGCTGCCCGTGGCTGCAGCCGCCAGCAGAGGAAGGAGGCATAAGCAGGGGAACAGCGTATGCAAGAGCTGGGACGTGAAAGCGAGCCTGACATGTTCCAGGAACAGGAGGAGGCTGATGGCCAGGGCTTGAGTGGCCCTCAACAGGCAGGAAAACCAACAGGGCCAGACTGTGTGGGCCTCACGGGCGTAAACCACAAAGCACCCGGATCAGATTGTTCAATTTGCGGAAAGACACAACGGGGGCGGGAGGGGGGCAGGGGGGGGATGGAAGGCGGAGACAAAGGTGGACCAGACGCAGAAGGCATTGGCTTGGAGAGGAGGCGCGCTGAGGCGGGCGGAGGAGTGGGCGCGGTGCGGGCTGCTTGCAGGAGGCAGCAGGTGCTTGTCCCTGCGTCGGAGGAGCACCACCAGGAAGGACCCGGCCTTCTGGCCCCGCCCCTGAGTGAGCGGAACGGGCAGCATCGGGGAAGGCACTTTTCCCCCAAGATGCCGTTTCTTGCGAAGTCTTGGCATTCCCCTGGAATCCCTCCCTTTTCCCAGCGGCTTCCCAGCAGCCAGTCACCCTGGCAGTTTATTTTCCCCACTCGGCCACAGCGAGTTTTGGAGGACTGCCCCGAGCAGGCCCCGGAGCGCTCACTTCTCTTTTTAAGGAGCTGAGATCAGCCCCAGCTCACACACACACACACACACACACTCACACACACACACACACTCACACACACACACTCACACACACACACACACACACTCTCACACACACACACACACACTCACACACACACACACACTCACACACACACACACACTCACACACACTCACACACACACACACTCACACACACACACTCACACACACTCACACACACTCTCACACACACACACACTCACACACTCTCACACACACACACACACTCACACACACACTCACACACTCACACACACACACACACTCACACACACACACTCACACACACACACACACACACTCACACACACACACACTCACACACACTCTCACACTCACACACACTCACACACACACACACACTCACACACACTCACACACACACTCACACACTCACACACACACACTCACTCACACACACACACACTCACACACACTCACACACACTCACACACACTCACACACACACACACACACTCACACACACACACTCACACACACACACTCACACACACACACACACACACACTCTCACACACACACACACTCACACACACTCACACACACTCACACACACACACACTCACACACACACACACACACACACACACTCACACACACACACACACACACACACACAACCCGCTTCCCAAAGGTCTCTCTTGAGCAGTCATTTGTTCTTTGAGGAGACAGGGAGGGCCCGGGCTGTGGTGGGAGCGGCGACAGCCCCCCCTCGGCTTTTGGGGAGAGCAGGTGGTGTGAGTGAGAGAGGAAGTGAAGCTGGAGTCTGGAGGAGGAGGGAGAGCATTGCAGGCGGAGGGTCACCGAGGCCCCCACTGTGGGTAGAGGGATGGGTGGGCGGTCCTGGAGCCGTCAGAGGGAGGGGGGAGGGGGGAGGCCCACCGGAGGCTCTGCTGATCGGGGAGAGGTGGACTACACCGCATGAAGAAGCTCAGGAGAGCCGAAACCGGTGTGGCTCAGTGGATATAGCACTGGCCTGCGGACTGAAGGGTCCCGGGTTCGATTCCGGTCAAGGGCCTGTACCTTGGTTGCGGGCACATCCCCAGTAGGGGGTGTGCAAGAGGCAGCTGATCGATGTTTCTCTCTCATCGATGTTTCTGACTCTCTCTCTCTGTAAAAAGTCAATAAAATATATTTTTTTAAAAAAAGAAAAGAAGCAACTCAGGAAACCCCCGATGGGGTCCCGGAGGCAGCTAGCGATGTGAGCAGAACTCAGGGCCAGTTCTGGTTAGGTTCACGCATCCATACTGTGGGTTGGCATTGCTCCTCCTGGAGGTTTTTATTCCTCCTCAGTTTGCCAAGAGGATGGGTGAGAAGGGGGAAAAATTACGAGCTTTGGGTTTCTTCACCGCCTTTATCCCACTTCTGCCACCAAATTGGTGATGATCATAAGGAAAGAAGGCCTTCAGCGGGACCTCGGGACCACGCGGTTCTACTATTTCTTTAATAATCCCAGGCCCTTGGACACTCCGCTTGTCCAGCAGAGCAGAAAGCGGACACTGGCTGCAGGACGTAACGGCTAGCGCTTACGTTGAGCAGTGCGTGCCAGGCACTGGTCGGTGTGTTTGGATATCCGTGTATTTAGTCCACAATGCCATTCCGTGCAGTGGGTGCTTTCATTATCCCCGCTTCCCCAAAGAGGGGCCTGAGGTTCCGGGCTGGGGAGTTCCTGGTGCTGAGCAGCAGAGCCGGGGTTTGAACACGGCGTTTGGGCCCTCGCTGCTCAGCTCCGCGGTGACCACCCCTCTGCGCTCCTCCCAGCCCAGCCCCAGAACCACGCCGAGACCCAGGAGGTGGCACTCAGCGCGGAGCGGGTGCCCGTGGCGCGCTGTGTCTCCTCGGGGGGCCGCCCGCCCGCCCAGATCTCCTGGCTCTCGCCCCTGCATGGGGAGCAGATGGAAACCGAGACCTCGGGGCCCCTGTTCGGCACGGTCACCGTCACCAGCCGCTACGCCGTGGTGCCCTCCAGCCAAGTAGATGGCGTCAGGATCACCTGCAAGGTGGAGCACGAGGCCCTGGAGGAGCCCGCCCTGCTGCCCGTGACCCTGTCTGTGCGCTGTGAGTGCCTCCCCGTGGCCGCAGCGCCCGCAGCCGTCCCCTGGGCTCGGCCACACCCGCCCTGCCTGCCGGCCCTGCGTCTGTGCTCCACACCGCCCGCCCCCCAGGCCACAGCCACACACTGCCCTGTCGTCCACACGGCCAGGCCGTGGCAGACGCTGCCCCCACTGTCACTACCCCTCTGTCCACACTGCCTGAGCCAGCACTGTCTACACGCACACGCTCATCCACTCTGTTTCCATCGACTCCTGTGGTCTCTACACCAACTCCTGCCTCCGAAAACGATTCTCACCCACCCCACTGGCCCTGACAGTGCTGACGCCTTCCAGTGTGTTCTGTGCCAGCTCTTCCCCACACTGTGCACACGCACGCCCCTCCTACAGCCCCAGAGGCCTCCCTGGCGCTGCTCCCACCAGCCCGCCTCTCAGTCACCGCAGCAGCACGCTCACATCCTCCTCCCAGCAATGCCTTCGGTTAGACCCGTGGTCGGCAAACCCGGCTCTTTGGCCCCTTGAGTGTGGCTCGTCCACAAAATACCACGTGTGGACGCGCATGCACAGTGCGATTGAAACTTCGTGGCCCCTGTGCAGAAGTCGGTTTTCGGCTCTCACAAGAAATTTCAGTCGTTGTCCTGTTGATATTTGGCTCTGTTGACTGATGAGTTTGCCGACCGCTGGGTTAGACCGCGGCTCGGCCAGATCCCCCGTCCACGCTGCCGGGGAAATGGCTGTGTCTGTACAGCCCGGGCACTGCCCCCGAGGAGAGCTTTCTCCGAGTGCGGAGCGTGTCCCCTCCGGCCTCGCAGACACGGGGATTCGCCCCGACAGTTCCCACGGCTCACCTCCTGCCAGCCTGTTCCATTTCCACAGGGTCCCGTCTGTCTGCTTGCCTGTCGTCCCCCTTGGGACTCCCCTCTCTGAGCCAATCCCCCATTTCCTCCAGACCCCCCTGAGGTCTCCATCTCTGGCTATGACGACAACTGGTACCTCGGCCGTAGTGAGGCCTCTCTGAACTGTGATGTTCGCAGCAACCCGCAGCCCACAAGCTACATCTGGAGCACGTGAGTCCTGGGGGCCTGGACTCCTGGGTGTGAGGGAGGAGGGGCTGGACCTGGGCTCTTGGTCTGAGGGAGGAGGGCTGGGGTCCTGGACCCCTGGATCTGAGGGAGGAGGGGCGGGGGCCTGGACTCCCTGGGTCTGAGGGAGGAGGGGCTGGGGGCCTGGACCCCTGGGTCTGAGGGAGGAGGGCTGGGGGCCTGGACTCCTGGATCTGAGGGAGGAGGGCTGGGGCCTGAACGGGGGTGGGGAGGGGGATCCTCCAAAAGGAGGGAGCAGGCAGCTCAGGGTCCCTGGAGGGCTGTCATCAAGGACCCGGCCTGTGCTCTGTGGGCCCTGCCGTCCCTTTATGTGACCTCCTCATTCCCCAGGACCTCGGGCTCCTTACCGGCCTCAGCGAAAGTCCAGGGCCCCCAGCTGCTAGTCCACCTGGTGGACAGGATGGTCAACACCACCTTTGTCTGCACCGCCAGCAACACCGAGGGCTCGGGCCGCGCCGAGCAGGTGGTCCTCGTCCGAGGTGAGCGGGCCTCGGGTCCATCCCACGTGCCTCGCGCTGGGCCGGGCCGCACGGGGAGGCTGTGCCGGCGGGGGGCGGGGTCCAGACCCGCCAGGTGCTGGGAGAGGAGGTGGATGGGCCGGGCTGATAGAGGGCAGGGTTGGCAGAGGAGTGCTGGGGGCTGAGGCCTATGTGGGTGGTTCCGGAGCGGAGAGGCGGGGCAGGGACTTCAGGAAGAGGCCAGCCTTGCCTGGGCTCCAGCCACAGAATCCACACAGTGCGGTAGCCACCGGACACACCGAGCTCCTCACGGTGGACGCCGGTCCCTTCTGTCCGGAGCCCCTGGTAGTGCGAGGGGGGGCGTGTGTGATCCTGGAGTCGGTGACGAAGTGGGTCTGTGGGTGGGAAGTTCTCCGAGTCCCTCGATGTGAACTCAGAGACACAGCGGAGAGAGCGGAGGCAGGCTCGGCCGGTGCTTACGCTGGAGGCAGTGGGGTGGGGTCACAGCTGTGCATCACACCCTGGAGGGCGGCAGGGCCGTGCACCCCGACACTCAGACACAGCGGACCCATGGCTGGGCGCAGAGTGCCCTTCAGGTCAGAGCACAGCCAGCAGGGCCGGTGTCTGCAGACACACCCTGAGCTTCGAGATGCACTGAAATTAAAACAGCCTTGCCCACCCACTGCTGTCACCATGACACCCCCTCCCCCAAGGCACTGAGCCCAACCCAGTCACAGCCGCCAGAGCCCGAGACCCCTGGCGAATGGGACACCGGCCTTGCCCTCCAAGGCACACCCAGAGCAGTCAGCTCCACCCACCCAGCAAGGCACCCAACTGGAACCTCCACCCAGAAACACACCTGAGGAACGGGTCCCCCCACATGCGGAAGGCACTCCCAGGGTGCAGCCTGAGGAACCCAGACGCGAGCACACACACACACACACACACACACACACACACACCCCGGGGCTGTCCGCTGCTGGGCGCACGCCCAGTGAAACACCCCAGGCCCACGGGGACCGGACGCACACAGATCACAGCCCCACAAAGACCGAGCAGTGAGGAGAGCCGCCCCCTCCCCCGACTATCCCAAAGGAAGCCACAGCCCCAGGAGCAGCCAAACCCGCCATCAGGCCACGCCCACAGGTAGATGCCACGCCCACAGGTAGATGCCACGCCCACAGGTAGATGCCACGCCCACAGGTAGAAGCCGCAGGAACACGCAGGCCCAGACCCGGCAGTGAGTGCCAGCACCGGCCTCGCCGGGAAGTCCCCGCTCCCGTCTCCCCGCGGGTCTCCGCTCGCAGGCCCAGACGTGCTGTCATCGCCGGGTGGGGTTCGCGCCCTGCAGACTGGGCACGGCCACACCGCGGCCGGGCGTCCCTCAGGGAGACTGAGCTCTCAGCCCACGGCAGGATCACTCACTGCCGGCTCAGCCGCTCCGGGCACAGGCACCCTCCCCTCCAGACGTGTGGACTGTGCTCCGCGCCCCACCCAGGATCCAGGGAGAGGCATGCATTTTCCCCAAAAGAGGTTCGCAAAGTCGTACTCACCCTTCACGCTTGAGGGGCGTTCCTGTTCTCTTTAACTGCTGCTTGCGAGTCACTTAGCTGCCTTGACAGCCCCCTTTTTAAAACACCCAGAAATAGCCGCCCTGGGGCCTCTGCACAAAGGCTGGGGAGGGAGGGTCTGGCGTGAGTGGCCCCTCTGGTCTCGCCCCTGCATACAGGGGTGGGGAAAGCCCATGTGTGATCAGTTCCCATTGTACATGTCTGTCCCTGGTGTGGAGCCCAGCCCCCTCCCCCTCCCCTTCCTGTCCCCTGCCCCCAGGCCTCCCCCTGCAGTTTAGCCCGTGCAGGGAGCACCAGCGGGCAAAGGGACGGTTTGAGCCCCGTTTTCTGTGCTGGGGACGGGTGGCCCAGGCAGGTGGCACAGGGGACGGGTGGCCCAGGTGGGAGGGGAGTGGCACTGGGACTGGTGGCCGTGGCGGGTGGCACCAGGATGGGTGGCCCAGGTGGGAGGCGGGTGGCACGTTGAGGGTGGCCCAGGCGGGAGGCGGGTGGCACCGGGATGGGTGCCCAGGCGGGAGGCAGGTCACGCCGCCCAGACCAGGTGCTCCCAGCTCCAGGGCAGTTCTCAGAAGGTCCCTTCTCTGAGCACTCTCTGAGATCCGCCTCTCCCTCTTCCTGGCTGGATCCACTCTAAGGTGTTGTGACCATGACCTCAACTCATCCTCAGGGCGTCCATGCCTCCTGGGTCCTGGCAAGCGAGCTGGTGGCCGGTGTGGAACTCTGTTCCCTCCCCAGGCGCAGCCTCACTCAGCTACGGCCCATCCCGGGCGGAGGACCTGGGGTTCTGGTGTTGCCAGATCTGACCACCTTCCCCCCCCCGCAATGAAACAGGGAATTTTCAGTGACATCACCTGGTTTCTGAGATGTCGGCCAGGAAGTTTAATAATGCTGTGGGATAAGGAGATCTGGGACCGGCTGGTAACCCCTCCGCACAAAGCACTCAGCCCGTAGCAAAGAGCGAACAGGTTCTCCCTGCTGACCCCCCCCCATTTTGCCAGTCAGTCCCCTCCCTGTTCCTGTCACCCCCCTGCCGGGTCCTCCCAGGCGCATCCTCTTGACCTGTGTCTCCCTCTCTCTCTCTCTCTCTCTCTCTCTCACCCCTCCTCCTCTCTCCTCAGAAGGCCCCCGGGCCTCTCCCCGAGACGAGGGTCCCATGGTGTGGGGGGCCGTGGTGGGGACGCTGCTGGTGCTGCTGCTTCTGGCTGGGGGGGTCTTGGCCTTCGTGCTGCTGAGGAAGAGGAGGCGGAGGAAGAGCCTTGGAGGAGCAGGAGGAGGACCGGACATGGGCCAGGGATCCTACGATCCGAAAACTCAAGTGTTTGAGAACGGGGGCCCCGTCTTCTGGACCACCACAGCCCCGGGCCCCCCAAGGCCTGACGGCCAGGTCGCCGAGGACTACGAGGAAGACGAGGAGAAGGCCGAGAAGGGCCTCATGCTGCCTCCGTCCCTCGCGCTCGAGGACGACATGGAGTCCCAGCTGGACGGCTCCCTCATCTCCCGGCGGGCGGTGTACGTGTGACCCGGACAGAGACAGACACAGAGACAGAGACAGACAGAGACGAGCCCGCAGGGGCCCTGGCTCAGACTGGTTGGACTCGTTTGTCTAGATGACACTGGAGCGCAATTGCTACCTCCCACTTTCCTGGGATTCAGAGGGAGGTGGAATACCACACACTGGACTTACAGTCTCCGGGGCTGCATGGGGGAGGGGACGGGGACCGCAGAGCACCCCCACCCCCAGCAGAGACTCGCTTTTGGCTCTGGCCTGCCCCCTGTGACACTCAGGATTAATAAACGCCTTGGAGGAAAAGTCAGGGTGTCTTGTAGTACACTGGACCCCTCCTGGGGGGGGTGAGCTGACCTGGGCTCCATGGACTGGGGGCTGGGGGCTCTTACTGCTGGGTCCTTGAAGGACACCTTGGTTGCTGAGACCCCCCAAGGCCAGTGGGACTGGGACCTGGGCTTAGAGACGGAGGTTCCGGCGCAGAGGCTGCCTTCCCAGGCAGCGGCCAGACCAGTGGAGGCTGACTGCCCGGACCCCGGTGCTTGCAGAGGGTGCTGTGGTCCGATATCGGGGAGCACAGACCCAGAGGACACCTGGGGAGGGAGCGCTGCCCCCACATTCTCCGGGCCCCCAGGAGGCCAGGAGTGCGGGTGCCGAGAAAACAGGGAAGTCCCACCGATCTGCCCAGCCTTTCCCGCTTCCTTCCTCTTCCTCTGCCCCTGGGAACCAGCCAGAGGGAATTTTCTGTGATTCAGAGGCAGGGCTGTAACTGCTTCCCTGCTCATTGCCCTCAACCAGAACCTCTCCCCACCCGAGGCTGGGGGCTGAGGTGGGGACTGGGAGGGGCCGGGTAAGTCCCAGCCACCTCCCTCCCTGGCCCCAGGGCGTGGCCCCGGGGAGTCAGCCTTCCCCTGGACTGGCCACCAGCTGCCCCGGGCTGCCTGCTCCGAGGCTGCCACTGCCCATTAGGCTGAGCCCCCCTGCCCAGTGGGCTGGCTGGTCGGGCGGGGCTTGGTGCCTTCACTCTCTGCCAGTTTTGACTTCCACTGAATCGCTGGGGATGCAGCAGGGACGCGGGCAGACTCCCGAGCAGTCCAGTCCGGACGCCTGGAATGACAGTAACTTGAGGATGGCCGGTGTGGACTGAGCGGCAGTCACTGTTACCCTCCCACATTCAAGCCCTCCGGAGCCAGCCGGCTGTGGACCAGGAAGTGTGGAAAACGGACAGTCCTGGGTTCCAGACACGGTTCCTCTGGGGGCTGGATCCCCTCTGTGGTCTGGGCTTCATGGGAGGGGTGGGGCCCGTGGCCGGGGCCTTGCTTTCTGGTTGCTTATAGTCTAACACCCCCTGCTAGGCTCCCCCTCCCACCTAGAGGGCAGGGCGGGGATTTGTCAGTCTGGCTCCTAGCAGGTCCTGAGCGCCTGGGCCCACCCTCCCTCACACCAGCCAGACCAGCCCATCCGGAACGTGCAGCCCAGTGTAGAGACTGGCAGATACACGATAATGACTCCAATCACAGCGCGAGGAAGTGTGAAGTGTGCTGCACAGGAAAGGCCTTGGGGCCGTGAGTTTCTCTCCTGGCATTTCCTGTTGGGTTGACGCAGCTCTGATCCTCCGACCAGGATGACTCCATTCCCCGTAATGAATGTCCGGCTACGATCCTAACCCCAGGACACCCCCCCATCCTAAGCCCTGATCCCCTCCTACCTGCCTCCGTTCTCTGCCTTGTAGCTCTACTTCCCTTCCCACCAGTTCCCTTCCCTCCTCTCTGTGCCTCCCCTCACTGGCTGCTCCTTGCTGTTCCTTAAAAACAGCACAAAACTTCCTCCTCAGGGCCTTTGCACCAGCTGCCATCTCTGCCAGGAATGTTCTCACACCTCCCCCATCGCTCACCTCCTTCAGCTCTTTGCTCACATGTCACCTGCAGTAAGGCTCTCTCTGACCACCTGCTCTGTCACTTCCTACCACCTTCCCCACTTTGCAGTTTTGTTTTCTTAGATTTTTTTTTAATGTATTTTATTGATTTTTTACAGAGAGGAAGGGAGAGATACCGAGAGCTAGAAACATGAGAGAAACATCGACCAGCTGCCTCCTGCACACCCCTCACCAGGGATGTGCCCGCAACCAAAGTACATGCCCTTGACTGGAATCGAACCTGGGACTTTTCAGTCCATTCAAGTCCGCAGGCCAACGCTCTATCCGCTATACGCCAAACCGGTTTCGGCTTCTTAAAATTTTTTTATTTATTTTTAGAGAGAGGAAGGGGGAGAGAGAGAAATATTGATATAAAAATAAAACATTCAATGGATCTCTCTCATTATTGATGTTTCTATCTCTCTCCCGCTCCCTTACTCTCTGAAATCAATATACATATTTAAAAATAAACAAACAAAAAAAACATTGGCCCTACCTGGTTTGGCTCAGTGGATGGCCTGCGGACTCAAAGGTCCTTTCCAGTCAAGGGCACATGCCCAGGCTGTGGGCTCAGTCTCCAGCAGGGGGCGTGCAAGAGGTACCCAACCAACGACTCTCATCATTGATGTTTCTATCTCTCCCTCTCCCTTCTCTGAAATCAGTAAAAATATATATATTTTTAAAAATATGAAGCTTTTTCAAAAACAAAACATTGATCGGCTGCCTCCTTCGGGGCCCCTATGTGGGGTTGAGCCCACAGCATTTTGGTACATGGGACTACGCCCAGCCCACTGGGCCATACCGGCCAGACCCACCATGTACCTTTATCCTACATCACTTAATTGCCACCTGGCACATTGTAGCTGTGTCTGTACTGCTGTCTCCCTGCCCAACTACGACATAAATTCTGTCGGGGTGGGGGCTTCTGTATGAATAAATTCCCCAAAAATGGCTTGGTAAGGATGTGTTGAAGGAAAGAATGTCCCCTGCCTTTAAGGGCTGTGAGTGAGGAGCTGTGGCTTCCCCCCGGAGATCTCCTCACACTGTCCCTCTTCTTGCAGAATCCCCCAACACGTCAGGTGCAGGAGCCACCGGGGGCATCATCGGGGGCATCATCGCCGCCATCATTGCCACTGCGGTGGTCGCCACTGGCATCCTCATCTGCCGGCAGCAGCGGAAGGAGCAGAGGCTGCAGGGGGCAGAGGAGGAGGAAGATGAGTAAGTGACACATACCACGCAGTGGAGGAGGGAGGGGTCCCAGAACCGGGGACCCTGCGGTGGAGGGTAAAGATGGGAGAAAACCATCTGTAATGGCTCCATGAAGCAGAGGCACCCCAAATAACTTATAACTTCAATAGGACAGAGAGGAGAGTTTGCTTGTGTCTCGTAAGTCACGGATATGGCAGCTCTGCTCTGTGAAGTCATCGGAGCCCAGGCTCCTGCTGTCTTGTCACTCAGCCTTTATTCACATGTCAAAGGCTCCCCACTCTTCTGTCATCATCCACATACGTCACAGCCAGACAGGGCTGTCCTGGCCTCAAAGCCCATTCCTGCCGGTGGGAAAAGGAAATAGAAATACAGGGTATTTAAGCCTGACTGGCGTGGCTCTGATTCAGTGTCAGCCTATGAACCAGAAGGTCACAGTCTGATTCCCGGTCAGGCCACCCATGCCTGGGCTTCAGGCTCGATCCCCAGTGGAGGGTGTGAAAGAAGGCAGCCGATCAATTACCTGTGACACTCACTATTAATGTCCCTCTCTCCCTCTCCCTTCCTCTCTGAAATAAATAAAAATAGATTTTATTTTATTGAATTTTTAAAAATATATTTTATTGATTTTTTTTTTTTTTTACAGAGAGGAAGGAAGAGGGATAGAAAGTTAGAAACATTGATGAGAGAGAAACACCGATCAGCTGCCTCCTGCACACCCCCCACTGGGGATGCACCCACAACCGCAGTACATGCCCTTGACCAGAATCGAACCCGGGTCCCCTCAGTCCGCCCACGCACTATCCACTGAGCCAAACTGGTTTCGGCAAAAATAGATTTTCTAACAAAGGAAAGAAATACAGGGTATTCCGTCACCCTTTAAGGAAATGCATCACTTCTCACTTCCATTGACTTGAACCTGTCACATGACTGTCCCCAACAGCAGGGCAAGCTGGGAAATGTAGTCTTTATTCTGGGTGGCCACGTGCCCAGCCAAAACCTTCATTAGTATGGGAAAGGAGGAGCCTGGGTATTGGGGAAAACTGGCCACACTCCTCAGTGTAGAGCACTGTATGTGCCAGGCTTGACGAGATGCATTTGACATGTATAACCTGGATACAGTCTCACATCCATTCATCGAGTCAACAAGTATTCAAACAGTAGCCACCGAGGCCCAGGCTCTGGAGGTAGGGACGCAATGATGAGACAAACATTTTTTAAAAAGTGCCCCCTCGTGGCTCAGTGGTTGAGGGTCGACCTATGAACCTGGGTTGCAGGCTCGATGCCTGGGAGTGGGCGTGTGGGAGGCTTCCAATCAGTGATTCTCTCTCGTTGTTGTTGTTGTTTTTAAAATATACTTCTTTATTGATTTCAGAGAGGAAGGAAGAGGGGAGAGAAATAGAAGCATCAATGGATGAGAGAGAATCATTGATTAGCTGCCTCCTGCACTCCCCCTACTGGGGATGGAGCCCACAACCCGGGCCTGTGCCCTTGGCCAGAATGGAACCTGGAACCCTTCAGTCCGCAGGCCGACGCTCTATCCACTGAGCCATACTGGCTAGGGCTGTGTTGGTTTTTTGGGGTAATATTTGTATTGATTTTTAGAGAGAGAGGAAGGTTGATGTAAGAATGAAACATCAATCGGCTGCCTCCTGCATGCCCCCTAGCGGGGAGAGAGGGTTGGCGGCCGCTGGTTTGGAGGATAGGAAAGCATTTCAATCCTATATTCACTCTCTTAATGAATATTTACTGAATTCTTCATAGTGGGTTCTGGGAACACCATGTTAATCAAGATCTCATTCTCTCCCTCACTTTGCTCATGGTTGGTTACAGTCATTGAGTGATATCAGAAATAACATGTCAGCCCTGGCCAGTGTTGCTCAGTGGTTAAAGGGTCGCTGGTTCTATTCATGGACAAGGGCATGTACCCGGGTTGTGGGTTCACTCCCCACCTCCACCCTGGTTCAGGTGTGTGCAGGAGACAACCAGTCAAAGTGTCTCTCTTATCGATGCTTCTCTCCCTCCCTCCCTCCCTTCCATTCTGAAAAGCAGTAGAGAGAGAGAGAAAAACAAAAAACAAAGACACTTCAAATACAAACTCAGTTAAGTGCCCTAAGAGGGAGGTGTACAGGCGATCGTGATCCTCCTGGGGAATCGGAGGCCTCCTGGAAGAAGATTCGTGGGATGGAGAGGAGTGAGCTGGGCAAGGGGAGTGGGGGGCGGGGGGGTGGAAAGGGATAGCAGGCAGGAGGAGGAGCTTGTGCAATGGTCCTAGGGTCGGGGGGCTTAGGTCTGAGCCTCTACCTGGTCTCCCTCCTACCCCACAGCCTGGAGGGGCCTCCGTCATACAAGCCACCAACCCCAAAGGCAAAGCTGGAGGAGCCAGAGATGGTAAGCTCTTTGCCCGGAACCCAGGGCTGCGCCCCCCTCCCCCCCCCCCCCGCCCACCACCTTTCCCCCGTAGGGCCATGGTGGGGAGAGGGAGTTGGGGAAAGAGGTGGGCTGGGCGGGGGTCCTGACCTATCCCGCCCCCTCTCACTGCAGCCCTCCCAGCTCTTCACTCTTGGGGCCTCAGAGCACAGCCCACTCAAGACCCCCTACTTCGATGCTGGCGTCTCGTGTGCTGAGCAGGTAGGATCTCGGGTAAGGATGAGGCTGGGTACAGTCGCTGACACAGAGGTTAAGGGTTAAAGGTCACAACTCAGATTCAGAGCTGTGTCTCCGGTCATGTTTACAATTCAGTGGGGGAGGTCACGACTGAAAAATCCCAGCGACCTGAGGTTAGAGTGAAGACTGGTTGAACATCTACATGTGCTAGATACAGTAAGACATGTAGTCCCATCAGCTATCTGCTGGAAGTCAGGGGTCAGATATTGCAGTTGTAACTAGTGAAAGTTGAAGGGGCTATTTCAGGCTTAAGGTTAAATAGTTGAGATCAAGGTCAAAGTCAAAGGTTCATGGGCAAAGACTCAGATCAGAAATCAAAAGACAGAGTAGAGACTCAGGATTGACAGGGTGAGGTCCATGCTTTGAATTAGGGACAAGCCATATGACTGACCCCGTGACAAGGGGTAAGATTGGGTCTGGTTGGTGTGGGGAGATGGTCAAGATTTTGGAGTCAAGGGGATTCTGTGTCAAGCTCAGGAAGTGACCTTGAGCTCCTATTCCCTCCTTGTCCCCAGGAAATGCCTCGGTACCATGAGCTGCCCACCTTGGAAGAGCGGTCGGGGCCCCTGATCCTGGGGGCCATGAATCTCGGGTCCCCCATCCTGGTGCCTTCAGGGCCGCCTGTTGTGGAGAGGCTGCCTCTGGATCTGGAGGACTTGGATGATGATGAGGAAGACTACCTGGACAAGATCAACCCCATCTATGACGCCCTCTCCTACGCTAGTCCCTCTGATTCCTACTCAAGCAAAGGCTTTGTCATGTCCCGGGCCATGTACGTGTGAGCTGCCATGGCCCTGGCTCTTGCTTCTCTTTTTGATCCCTCAGCTTTCTGCCAGGAATCTAGTGCCTCTTGAGCTCTGGCCAGACCACTGTTAGCGAACACAGGCATCTCATCTGTGACTTCTACCTTGTTGGGTCCATTGTGACCTCTAATTCATTATCTCTGACCTACAGAAACCTGACAATCTTATCTCATGAGTTGAGGGAGGGGAAATACTTTTCTGCACAATCTGACCCGAGGACTCCTAAAACTGTGACTCCTTAGTTCATACCTCTTACGTCTCCTCCCAAATTCCAAAGAAAACCCCGGACCTCCAATGTGTCCTTAGGTAGTTAGCTCCCAATAGCTCTGCTGGGTTGGATGTTGGGGGGCAGGCACCTTGCTGCTCAGACCTGAGCCCTCCAGGCAGCAGAGCCCCACTTGACCCCTCCTACCCTGTCTGTTCCCAGTGGTGGGAAGGAGGGGAGTCCCCAGCCCAAGGTATAGCTTCCCCATCTCCCTCCTGCAGGCAGGAGTCACAGGGTCCGGACCCTTCCCTGAGTCCCCACTTACCCAAATCCTGTCTTCTGGGGATTAAGCCCCTCCGCCCCGTCAAGGACTAGACAAGGACTAGATAGGGTGAGTGTCATGCAGAGTGTGCCTTGCTGACCCCAGCCTTGAGAGAACAATTCCGTGTTACTTTGAAGACTACTACGACCTTTTACTGCTGCCCAGTGTAATGGGACCCAAACATCTCCCGGGGGGAGGGGGGAGGAGGAGATGGTCACCTGGGTTGGGGTAGCAGGGGTCCTCAAACTTTTTAAAGTGGGGGCCAGATCACGGTCCCTCAGAGAGCTGGAGGGCCGGACTATATGAACTACTAATTCCTACGGTAACACCTCGGCTGCGCTCACTGCCCAAAAAACCTGGCGGGCCGGATCAGACTCCTCTGCGGGCCACATGTGGCCCGCGGGCCGTAGTTTGAAGACCCCTGGAAGGGATCTGATATTGTTTTGTAATAGGGAATTTCCTACCAATATGAATTTGTACTTTGACCAGGTCTCAACTTGTGTATTCTGTGGGATGTGAAGGGGAGGAGGGTGGAACATGATGGTGGGTAATAAATAGGGGGCCCAGGACTTAAGGGGATTGGTAAACAAAGTCAAGATGTGTTATAGACAAAAATAAGAGCCAAAGACATGACAAAAATAATGGAAGGGATAATGACTAAATATGCATAAGCAAAAAGAAAAATGTAATGATGGGTAATAGAAGGAAAGGGGGAGAGAAATCCAGAACTTGTAGTTAATGAAAAGGAAACAGTGCAACAGCAGTCTAATGGCAGAAATAAACGGAACAGAGATATAAATGGTAGTAATTAAGTATGAGGGACTCGGTTTAATGGATAAATGGCAAGTAAGAATAGACCAAAGTCAAATCATGAATAATAAGAGCTCATGATGGGTAATAGATCTGGATGAATGAACCAGAGGCAGACAGATGAATAAATGGAGAAATAGGGGCCGCAGGCATGCTAGATAATAGAGCCAAAACATGATGGTTAATTTAAGAAGGGCTAGAAGAACGTCGGAAGTGCAGACAGAAATGTGCTAAAGGTAGTACAGGCAGTGAGACTGAAATGAATGGGACGGGGGCATGCTGGGTAATGGGACAGAAATGAATGGGCCAAAGATAGAAGCCGCAGTGACGCAGGTCCGGGGTGTGGGGAGCGGGGGGGGGCTGAGGGGGCAGAAGGCATGATGGGTAACGAGAGATCGGTGGGTCTACGGCAACTGTCGCGTTAAACAGGGAAAGCATTGTGGGTAACAAGAAGCCGGCGAAGGTTCACACAGCGGGTTAGAATTCTCCCGATGCACTGTGGGAAAATCCAGAACTTCCGGTTCTCGGTCGCTGACTCGGGACTGGGGTCTGCCCCTCTGCCGCGGTGCCTGATGGGACGCGAGGCCTGACCTTGCTGCCTAGCAGCCTCTGCCGCGCAACGCACCTTTACCCGTGTCCCTCGACCCTGCACGTTAGCCAATGAGCGCACCAGTCTGATTATGTCACAAGGGCGGGACCTGTGCCTGCCGGAGCCAATCATAATGTTGTAAGGGCCAAAGCCGGCCAATTATCAAGGCAACTTCTCCGCCGGGCGCAGTGGAAAGAGGCCTGCCTTCCAAAGAGGGGCGGAGGCGACGAGTCAGGGGGCGTTGCAAAATGCTCAGCACAAACCAATGGTAAAGCAGCGCCGAAACCCGCGGCGTAGCACACCAATAGGCACGGGGAAGGGCGGGCAGGTGTGCTTTAACCTGCTTGCGAGTGGCAGCCAATAAAAAAGGGCGTTTAGAAGAAATGGGTGGGTTCTCATCCGTGGTTCCAATAGCAGGGCCAGACCCTGAAGCTGGTGGGCGGAACCCAGGGCATGTTCAACCAATAGGCGGGGCGGGGCGGGGCGACGGTGGCGGCGGCGGCGGCAGTGGGTTCGGTTGCGCGTGGCGCACGGGGTGGGAGCGGAGCCCAGGCCGGGAACAGGCGCTGCCGCCAGTGAGAACCGGGCCCCAGAGCAGGGCGAGGATTGGCTGGGGACTGGGCCCGGGGCCGCGGGCCCTGACCTCCGCCCTCTGACCTTTTCCCTTGCAGGCGACCATGGGGAACGTGTTGGCCGCTAGCTCGCCGCCCGCAGGGCCACCGCCGCCGCCCGCACCCGCCCTCGTGGGTCTGCCGCCGCCTCCCCCCTCTCCTCCGGGCTTCACGCTGCCGCCGCTCGGGGGCGGCCTGGGTGCTGGGGCCGGCGCGGGTCGAGGTTCCGAACGGACCCCCGGGACGCCTGCAGGGACCGCGGACGATGGGGCCTGCGGCTGCCTCCCCAACCCCGGCACGTTCGAAGAGTGCCACCGGAAGTGCAAGGGTGAGGGGCGAGGGACCCGGCGGGTGTGTGATGGCCTGTACCTCGGGGGACAGGGCGGGAGTACATTGAGGCAACCTTGGGAACTGGCACCGGCTTCCGGAATTATTTAACAGCGTTGGGAGTTGACGTTGGGATCGAGTGGTGGAACATTGGACTTGGGGCTTGGAACGATGGGATCAAATGGTGGAACCTTGGAGTGCAATGGCATAGGAGCGGAGAAAAGCCTTAGCAGCCCCAGGGATCGGCCTAGCCGGCCTCCTCGTGCGATCCGCAAAGAAACTGAGGCCCAAGGTCACAGTGTCAGCGAGGGTCTGGTGGGGACGGAGCCCCCAAAGCTTCTGGATTCTGACTTGGGATAATCGCGGTAGCAGAAACGATGGAGACTTACCGCGTTCTGCCCTGGCATTCAATGCATGTTCACTCGTTAAGTCTTTGCAATGTTCCCACGTGGTGAGTGTCGTCTGGCAGATGACAGGTTTGTCAAGGATAAAGAAACTTACCAAAGGCACACAGTGGTGGGATTTGGATGCAGGCAGAGGCCCTGGTCTTGGCCCCGTCCATCAGGCCATCCTACCGTTTTACTGGTTGGATACTTTGTGGGACCATTGTGCTGTGGTTCCTTGGAGACGGGAGAGCTGAGATGAGAGGTGGGTGTGGGTGTGGGTGACAATATTTCTCTTCTTCAGAGCTGTTTCCTATTCAGATGGAAGGTGTCAAGCTCACAGTCAACAAAGGGTTGAGTAACCATTTCCAGGTGAGCCTTCCTGCCTCCTGAGGTCACCCAGCCACCCCCTGCACCTTGGCCTACAACCCCCTTGCTCCTTCCCGAAGGGCTGGGCTCCTTGGTACTTGAAAAGACCCAGACACAGTGCCAGGCTGACTTCTCAGCGGCGGTGTTTAGGGACCCACAATTCATTCAGAGATACCCCTTCCCCCATAGCATCCAGGTAGAATGAAATGCCAGGTATGTAGTCCACCCCCCAGCGCATTCTTTCTCCAAATCTCTAATCTAGTCCAGCCACTCCTCTGAGTCTTAGCTCCAGGCTCCCAGCCAAGAGATGCTGGTCTTTTCCTCCTGGATTGGGAAACCCAACAGGCAAATGCCCCCATCCCAGGCTGGAGGGGCACTGTGCTGGAGGTGGGCTCAGCTGGGATGATGTGGGGGTGGCCTACAGCTCCATCCCCACAGCCCTCCCTCTTCTCTCAGGTGAACCACACAGTAGCCCTCAGCACAATCGGGGAATCCAACTACCATTTCGGGGTAACGTACGTGGGGACAAAGCAGCTGAGTCCCACAGAGGTGAGGTTCTTGTCATTTCGTTCATTGTGTCATTCTTCTAACGAGTATGGAGCCGAACGCCAGAAGGCTTTGTCAGGGAGAAGCCAGAGCCGCGGAGGGTGCTGTGAGGGGACTGTCTCTCTCCGAGGTGCACTGGAATAGGGGTCCTTCATCCTGAACCCCTGCTCTCTGCCCAGTCCTGTGTTGCATGAGGCTTTGAATGCCAAACTAGGCATTTGGACTTTCTCTAGGGGGCACTAGAGAGCCATGGAGAGATTTGAACTGGGGAAGGTCATGGTCAGGTTTATGCTTTAGAAGTGTCTTTCGGGATGGCGTGCAGAGGCTAGGTTAGGGGAGTGGGGGCAAAACGGGGGGCCTGGAAGGAGACTGGGGCAGGATCAGGTGGAGTTAGGAGACTGAGTTCGTTAACTGGTTCCATTCAATAAACGCACTTAGTCAGCAAACCTGTGTCCAGCTCTCTGCAGGGGACACAGCAGTGACAGGCTGTGGGGCTCACAGTCTAGTGAAGAGGGGGCGGTCTGCTCCGGGGGAGGAGCAGTCACCCAAAGGCTGTGGGAGCCCAGAGGGGGGCCTTCCAGCGGAGGCTTTCTGAGTCTGAGCTTTCCACCTGGGCCCATCCCTTATGCTCTTCCATAATGCTAGGCTCCTGACCTTTAACCTCTTACCTTCCCTTCCCCTCTGCCTCACAGGCATTCCCCGTGTTGGTGGGCGACATGGACAACAGTGGCAGCCTCAATGCTCAGGTCATTCACCAGCTGGGCCCCGGCCTCAGGTCCAAGATGGCCATCCAGGTGAGTGGGAGTCAAGTCACCTGCTCGCCCAGCCTCCCTGAGCGCCAGGCTGCCCTCACACTCCCTTTCTCCCCACAGACCCAGCAGTCCAAGTTTGTGAACTGGCAGGTGGATGGGGAGTACCGGGGTTCCGACTTCACCGCAGCCGTCACCCTGGGGAACCCAGACGTCCTGGTGGGTTCAGGTAAGAGGCGGGCGGGAGGGGTCATAACCTAGTCCTGGCTTTACCAAGTCCAAGTCCGTCCCCTCCTCTGTGCCCCCTTTCCACCCTCTGAGAGATGGGCACGGGCAGGAGGGGTTTTGCAGCACAGCATCGTGGGTGAGGAAGAGAGTCAAAGCCAGCTCTGCGCCGGCCTCATTGCACCGGGAGGAAGCTCCAGCACCGCCGGGCCTCAGTTGTCTTGCCCATAAAATCGGGCTGCCTCGCGGGCCATTGAGAAGGTCACGTAGGTTCATGTGTGTGAAATGCTTCGGAGGGTCAGGCACGTGGATCCCGAGGAAATGGCTGCTGTCATTAACTCGTGGGGCCTATGTGTGAGGGCACAGGGCGGCTCCCAGGGCGCAGGCTCCACCTGCAGTTGGGAAGGAGACGGTCTGAGATGTGGAGACGGGCGAGGGAAGTGCCTGATGGGGGTTGGCGGGGGCAGGAACCACTGGGCTCTGTCTCCGCTTCTAGCTTCTCCGTTGTTTGGTTGTGGGTGTGGGTGGGTGGGTGTTTTGTTGTTAAACGAGGATATTTTTCCCCATTGATTTTTAGGGAGGGGGAACGGGAAGGAGAACAAGAAACATCCATGT